TAACCTATTTCAAATTAAACCAATAAGAAAACAAATTCAAATTACTTTTCTCCACCATCATCATTATATCCTTCTGAAGCTGTATATCCTTCAATGCTATTTTTAATTTTATTAGCTTTTTTTGGAACAATTATTGATATAAAAGTTGTATCATGAGAGTATATGGTGTAAGTGGCCAGAGCCTTGGCCTTGCAACCACAAGGTTACGCGTTCAAATCCCGCTCTGTGTATGATCTGATGTGAAGCAGTAGTGAAACTGTTCATTTGAAATCTATAGACTCCAATATGTTTCCAAGTAAAAATAGCTACAACGATTAAATATACATCTGATATATAATCACAACTCATAGAATACTAAGAATAGATCTGATTGCTGTTCAAAAATACCAAAAAAGTTTGATCATGACTTCAGCTACATAAAGTTCACTGATATTTAGTAAAATTTTCTTGTGAAAAATTAATTGATAGAGCGATCGACGACATTGAGATTTTCTTGTGAACCTTTGTTTGCAAAATAAAAAAAATGTTACAAATTGCAATAAAAATCTTATCATATGTATTTGCACTTATATTTAATTATGTTTTTACGATCTCTATTGGCGAAGTATGTTTTTCATATAATAATTGGAACAACGTGATGCCAATAAAATTGTAAAAAATAATCTATAATAAATTTAACGTTATTGCAAATAAACTTTCTTTTATAGCTTTATTGAGTAACGCCAAAGTAATAAAAATACGTAGATCAGGGATGAAAAACCTTGTTTATACAAAATCACTTCTAAATTAACAATTTAACATTGATTAAAATTGAATAAAAAATTGGTTATATCTTATTTGTTCAGATTATGTTCTCACTGTAGCTCATAGAATTACTTACTTTATTCTGATGGTTACATACAAATCTAATCAAAAAAATGTTCCATAAGAATTGTGTTCCACACTTCTGATACTTCTATTCCAAACTTTAATTGTATCTAATAAAACCGACCACGTTGTACATATATTAATTTTTGTGAGTAGACTTAACAAAAAAGTTTTCTTTAATACAAATAGTCTTCTTTATGTTTTTCCAATATTGCTGGTGTAACCTAATTTGCACCTTTCTTATAATTTGTGGTCGCTATTTCAAGTAAGAATATATCAAGTGCATGTGGTGGCGGTCGATATATGTTAATTATTACTTATATTTGTGGTGGTATATATATATATATATATATATATATATATATATCTGTATATATATAGATATATATATATATATATATATATATATATAGATTGACATTTTACCTACAGCAAGGTGAGAATTTAGACAATATTTAAAGCAAATATTTATTAATAATATTTTTGCAAAGGAAGATGAGTAGCAAACATAGATAAACAAGTATAAATGGTAGAAAAGAATCCACAAAAAAGTAACATTTTTGATTTTTTTTCTTAATATTTTTATATTAGAGGAAAGTCACCAAATATGGAATGCCATTTTGTTTTTGGGATAAAAAAACTTCATATTAATTAAATCAGTTTAATGTTTTTACTAATCCGTCGTACGTTTATATGTAGTAATTAGCAGCCTCTAATCAAATATATTAGATATCAAATTAAAATCTAACTAATAACATATAAGGAACCAAAAAAAATGAAATATGTACCCATATATGGAATTTAAGCATAAATCAACATAACAATAACAAAAATGGACATTAATATCTTTGAGATCGATTAAATGAATATAACATAATGTGATAAATGAAAAAAGTTACATAATTACTGAGAAAAGTCACAGATCCAACTATCAAACTTTGGATCAGCACAATCATAATATGATCAAAGCCCACTAATTAAAGCATTTAATCCTGCTTTCTCCACTTCTATCCATGAAAAAAAAGTCTTGAACAGAACATACATTCTGCATCAGCAGAGTCAGGAGCATTATACTGGTTTATCTATGCTCAGAAGGTACTTGGTCCATCAGCTCATCATGTTCACTACCTTCAGTACTACCAAACTGGATAACTACTGGTTCTTCAGAGTTTTCTTCTTCACTATCATCCTAATTTTTTTCGTTTTTTCGTTTCTCTTCGCAGTTTTCTTCTTATTTTTTGTCTTGACTAATTTACTTTCTTCTTGTCTCTTCATATTTCGTCTCTGTTAGATACTTTTCTTCGTTTCATCAAAATTATCAAATCCGTCCATGTTTTTAAATACTTCTACAGTACAAGTCAATCCAAAGACTACATTTTCAGATTGATGAAAATTCTAATCATCCAATCCGTCTCTGCTTTTTAAATATTTTCATAGTAAATGCAGTCCAATGCGCAGGACATTTACTGCATGCATTTTGCAGATGCAGTAAATCAAATTTTTTGGCAGCTTACTGTAGGGCGCACGTGTTTTGCATACACTTCGAACACGTGGCTATTTTATCCTTATTAAAATGATGACAATTATACACAAACACATACACACAATATATATATATATATATATATATATATATATATATATACAGTGCTGGATTTACAGTAGGGGCAATCGGGGCTACTGCCCAGGGCGGCAAATTTTGGGGGGCGGCAAAATTTGGATAGTGAGAAAAAAATTCTATTCAATATAATCAATTTTTTTTTAACAGCATTTTTTATTTCAAGAAATATAATTAACAAAACATAATACGATTGCAATGCAAAATTTGGGTTGAAATAAACGATAACTAAAATTTATTATTTTGCCTTGCCTCCCTATCCGAACGTAAATTATCAAATTGGTTAATAAGTTATCAAATTTGGCAATTTGGCTAATATAAATATCCGGAAAGAAGCTGAAAGTTTAAGAAAAATATGTTTTTCAGTTCTCGAGCCCTCTTAAAATGAAGTATTTGTGCACTTCCAAGCTTAAAGCGCCGAAAAACAAATTTAAACTAGTGACTCATTTGCCTTAAGACAAATTACTGAAACATCCCGTACTGAAAATTACATTTTATAAAGAGCTTTAAATTTTATTGAAAAATGAAAAAAAAGACTTCTAAAACACATTTTTTGTATTTTGAAATTTTTCGAAAATTATGAACTTTTTGCAAAGCAATCGCGCTGCGTAGCTGTTTCAGAGAAGAAATATCGAAACTCAATTACCATTTTTCGTAATTGCCTGTACCAAAAGCTAATCAGCACGTCTCAAATCTAATATTTTTTAATTATTCAAGCCGATTTATGATTCAATTCCTATTGATAAGGAGACATGCTGATTAGTTATTGGTCAAGGCAGGTCCACCTGTTTTGAAGATACGGGTCAAAATGCCAAAAATGATAATTCAGTTTTTGAGAAAAAAGCGTCCAATAACATTCAAAAAAATTTACAGAATAAATAACTGCTTAAATTTGTGTGGGGCAGGTTTAGCGGTTTCGATGATCCAATAAAAAAAATTTGATATAGAAACATTTGGCGGACAAAAGTGATCTTAAGACATATGCACATTAAATTACCAGATATTTTAAAGATATTATAATAATAAGTATAAATTTTGTTCACATTTATATAAGTTTTGTAGCATTGTTTATCCGTTAGACTGCGACACGGCGCTTACGCGCTTCTATATTTTGTCTCTCGCAGCTGAAGCAGCACGATTGCTTTAAAAAAAGTTCGAAAGTTCGTAAAATTTCGGGGATGGGGCGGCATTTTTGTCATTGCCCCGGGGCGCCAAATTTCTAAATCCGGCCCTGTATATATATATATATATATATATATATATATATATATATAAATACATTCATTTTTTTAATTCTTAAGTAGCAATCAGTACTTCTTCATTACCAATGTTTTAGGAGCTACTCCATGTTTTTTGACCTCCTGCCTTTACTTTATTAGAAGAAAACCATCAATCCTTTTTTGTAATAAAATTTCTACATACTTCTAATCGAGATATATATTGCAGCAATATCCCAAAAGGATATTTTCACTTGGAATCATATTTTGATCTATATCTTTAAATGTCAACTGATGCCATTAAAAGGAAGCTTTGTGGTTGCAAGGCCGTGGTTCTTACCACTGCACCACAAAAGTGGTTATATACTTATATGGGTTATTACTCATATATTGTATATATATAATATGTATATATATATAAATATATTATATATATACATATATATATATATATATATATAATTATATGTATATGTATATATTTATACATATATAAATGCAGAGTATCATAATGAAGTTGTGAAGAGGGAAACTGCAACATGCAGTTTAAATTGCTCCAATTTGATACCAACAAGTTACAATTGATAGCAATTGCATGCCAATTTCAATTTAGCCTATAATAATGTCAAATATACTTAATAATGTCAATTGAAATCATTCTAAATAATTACACAAAAGATCTTAATGAAAATCAGAACAGTCCAGTTACTTTTTTTCTAATGTTCTCAATTATATTTATTTCTTCAAAGATCAAGATACAGAGTAAATCGTTTAATTAAAAATAAATAATTCAAATTGAATAGAATTGCATACATTTTTGAATTTATATAATCAAATCGTTTAATTAAAAGTATGTACGAATTGTTTTCTGGAGGTTGCACTTACTCATCAAGAGTAGAGTTTGTTTCGTTCTTAAAAGACGAGTCTGAATTTTTTCGTCCTTATTTTTTATTCTAAAAATTTCACAATTTGCCCGTCAGCAGTTTTTTTTATAATTCCATAATTCCAGAATTTCCTCCCCAGTAAGTTCCTTTCGTTTTTCTAAAGATCAGGGCAATCTGATCCAGAGCATCCGAGTGGAAAGGGTTGAATGAGTTTATGGTTAAAATTAAAATAACTAATAATTTTCTGCATTGTACTACAAATTGTTTGGTAATTGTATTTAATTTTTTTGCAGATATGCAGTCGACTAGGTGACAAACAACGATTTGGATTTTTTATTTAATTTATTTTAGTTTAATTTAATTTTTTTTAAAAAATTTCAACTTTAACTTTTAAATAATTTTAATATATTTAATTTTAATTCATAAATAATTGGAATTCATAAATAAATAAAAATGCAAAAGAGATCGTCTGAAATTCGTACTTCGGGCAGAGCCCTGGTCAGGAGGGATAATAGTGGCAGCAAACTGAGATTGCTGACTATTGCTGGCGTTGGTAATTATTTTAAATATTTACTAAAAAATAGAATTAAAGTGATCTAAACGAATTTATTTTTTTATACAAATATGTATAATTAATCCATGTAATAAACCAACTTTTTTTTCCCATCACTGTCAAGAACTGCATCACTGGACGTAGTTCTAATTTATTTTCTATACTTTATGAGCAATTAATTTAATGATGTTTGACGAAACAAATAAATCAATCATGTATTATAATATAAATTTTATATTTCAGCACATTTGTCCATTTTATATGCCGGCATGATATTGGGGTGGACTTCTCCAACATTACCAAGATTGGAGAAACCGACTGATGACAACCCCCTGGACAGCCCCTTAACCCCAACTGAAAGCGCATGGATTGGGTCTATTGTAGCCCTAGGGGCTGCTGTAGGTAAATAATATATAATTAATATTTTAATAAAATTTACTTCACAATCATAATTCTATTATACCATCACGTGGGTAAATATACTTTTACTAGAACTAAAATGCCTTTGTCTACATTCAAATAAGAAGTTATGAAGGATGTTAAGTAGTCAATAGGACAGTAAATATATAGCATGTAATCTTTCACCTAGAAGATTTTTTTTTCTAAACTTATCTAAATAATATTTCCAATATTTCCAATATTTCCACAAATATCCTGTAATGATATTGACGAATCCATCATGAACGTATTAAGTCATTGATTAAAATTAAGATTATTAACCAAATTTCTTTTTTCCAGGACCCTTTCCAGGGGGATCAATGGCCGATAGATTTGGGCGCAAAGGTGCAATTTTGTTATCAACGTTGCCCACTTTTGTCGGGTGGCTATTGATAGGATTGGCCACATCTGTGGAATACATCTATGCTGCCAGATTTCTATTTGGCCTTAGTATAGGAAGTGCCTTTACTGTAGTTCCAATGTATACGGGAGAAATAGCAGAAGTAAGAATGCACCTTCAAATCAAAATTGTTGTATTGGCAAAATAATTGATTATACCATTTTTTTCAGGATAGTGTCCGTGGTGCTGTGGGATCGTTCCTGCAACTTTTTATCGTGACAGGATTCTTATTGGCTTATGCCATTGGTCCTTATGTGTCTTACATTGGACTTGTTTCCATATCCTTAGTTCCCGGAGTTTTGTTCTTCATTATTTTCTGTTTTATGCCAGAGACTCCTTATTATTATTTAGGAAAAAGTTAGTAATGAGCAGGAATCCTATGATGCTATCTGTAACTATATGAATAATAATATTTGTTCGTAGGTAAAAGGGACAAGGCTTTAAATTCATTATGTTTTCTCAGAGGAAAGTCTAAGGAAGATTGTCAGTCAGAATTGGACAAGATTGAGGTATAATATATACATCTGAATGAGTCAATTTATTGTTTTATGTTAAGTTTCCGACTCAGATTTGAGATAAAAAGTATTCATCATTCTAACTCATCCTTTTTTTCCAGGTCGCTGTAACGGAAGCAAGAGCTGAAGCAACAGCTTTTGCTGCTACCAATAAACTTAGTGAGCTCTTCAGATCACCAGTACATAGAAAGTGCTTGGCTCTATCATTTGGACTGGTAACTGCTCAGCAATTTGCTGGTATCAATGTCGTACTTTTTTATACTGAAAGCTTATTCGCCCAAACCGGAATCTCGATGCTCCCGGAACATGCTGCCATTTTACTAGGTAATAAAAATTTCCTATTTTTTCCCACATGATGAAGGTTGAAAAATCATGCATATATTAAAATATATTGTTTTTTCATAAATATTTTACCAATTTTAGTAATAATTGTGATTCTGCAGGTTCTTTGCAAGTTTTATCCAGTTTTACTGCTCCCTTATTTGTCGATAAATTAGGACGAAAAGTCATGTTATTGATATCAGGAGTTGGCTTGATAGTCAGTTTGGTAAGCCTTTATTAATACAATTTTTAACAAGTTTCAACAATGTTGCTAAATTATTTATTATTTCAGACATCTTTAGGTATTTACTTCAAATTAGACAGCATAAAATATGACCAGATTGACAGTCTTGGCTGGTTACCAATAACTAGTTTACTCTTATACATAGTAGTGTTTTGCATGGGTAAGTGTTTTATGCGAATTCATTTTAATTAAGTAGCAAAAGCTTTGGTCTTGCATGTCAAGGTTCCAGATTCAACTCTGACTCAGACAACCTGATATCAAGCAGTAGTGATATTGGTATTTCTATGGAAATAGAGATAGCAACATGTTTCCAAGTAAAAATATCCCCTGCAAGACATTGATAAAAAAATTATCAGTCTTTTACATCTGTTTGGGTTGCTATCTATAAATCTGGCGTAGTTAATTAAGTCATATGATCACAAAAGCTTTTAGGACCCTCAAGTTAATCTATTCCAATAATAATAAAAAGAGTTTCTATAAATCCTCATCCCTCTCTTATAGGTTTCGGTCCTCTCCCATGGGCAGTAATGGGAGAACTATTTTCGCCCCAGATAAAGGCAACGGCATCATCGATGACTGCATCTTTCTGCTGGTTCCTTACCTTCCTGGTGACAAAATATTTCGAAACACTTTGTCAGGCAATCGGAACACATGTCGTATTTTGGTTATTTGCTGCCTGTTGCCTATTGGCATGTATATTTGTACATTTCTGCTTGCCGGAAACCAAAGGTTTGTCTTTAAGACAAATTCAACTTCAGTTGAATGGTGGCAGCTCGGAGGAAAGTAGTGTGAATGTTTATGCGGAAGAACAAGCGTGATAATAAAATAATCTAATAATTAAAATAAAAATAAATAACTTTAAGATGGAATTTGCAGGTTCAATAAGCAGACACCAATGGTGACTGCCAAATAAAGCGTTTTTTATCGGTGAAGATTTTATACGATAATTTGTTTTACTTTGTTATGCAGTAATACAGTGCTAAAGAATTTTAATCAAAATAAATTATTTCTTTATTAGTTTTCAAGAGCTTGAAATAGCATAATCCTTAAAATTGTTTATAGGAGTTTGTTCACCAGTAGTGGAGCAATATTAAACAAAATAATATTGGTGACAATATTTGGCACCGTATACTCAAAAATTGTATCAACCAGGAAAAAAAATCAATACCAGTTTAATATTGAATATTTACAAGTTAAAAAAATACTATATTTAAGCATAGTACAAATTATAAAGTAAAATTAAAAAAAAAACTGAAGTTGCAATTACTAATCGAAAATTTCACTGCTTGAAATTACTTTTTTCACAATTTTAAAAATAATTTATACACTTTTCAAACCTTTTGAGAGAAGCTAAACATTATATTTATAGTGAATAATAAAAATAATATTTTTAAAATCCAAATAATCAATCTAAATTATAAAATTTTTACTTGCTACTTAAATCTGCGATTGCACGCATTTTATAAATTAATAATCTACAATTGAATTAAAACGCATCTTCAACTTTTAAGATCTGTGATCTTTGAATATTTTAAATACGCTCAAATATTTGAGTTTTTCTCATAAATACTCAACTAATATCAAATTAATAGTATTAAAATAAGAATCATAGGTACAAACTCGCTCTACTTGTTATAAATAAAATTTTATGATCCAAAATATTGCTTCAAATAGTTACATCGATTTTTTACATTATATTCATATATTTAAATTAGCGTTTATCCAAATTTATTTCAGAAGAACGTAAATTTCAAGCAATATTTTTAAAAATTTTATCATTAGTTTATAGAATATTTTTAGTAGCTCTTATGAGCTTTTAAAATTTGTAAATTTTGTATACAACGCACAATATATATTCGTACGATATTAAGATTACTATAAGTTACTTTTATTAAGTGCCTATATTTAGATCATGTGAAAAAAAAATTACTTATAAAGTTAAAAATATGATTATGCCGATTCTAATTTTTACATATAGAAAAAGATAGTATAGTAATTTCTATTTTTAAAATGTTAATAATATCAATTGTAGCTAATCTAAAATAACGCCAGTGCTTCCAAATAACTTCATTCTCAGGCATTTTAAATTAAATAAATATATATTAGGCTATTAGTAATTACTTTTTAATATTTATATACAAATAGTTTTAAAATAAAATGTCAAATTAATATTTGTGCTTTTCATTTTAATCTATTTCATCGAGAGCGAATGACAAACCAGTTTGGGCGTTACGCCACTTCCGTTGCATTTTCACAGATTTACTCCCTAGTCGCGCCTAAAGAAGGTTTTTGCAAATGTTTGCTATTTTTAAAGAAACGGATCAGCAGATCGTCCGCAAAACTGATCGACGCAAGTCTAAAGGTTCTATAAATTTTTGAAATCGGTTTAGAAGTTTTTGAAAAAATGTGTGAAAGCGGAGCTTTTAGTCAGTATTAATAATTTATCTTTGACTCTAATACTGTCCAGGATTATGTCCGACATATCCAGGCGAAATATATCAAAGCATGGCATACGGATACTTACTAAAAGACATACACACCCACAATACTTTTTCTAATTTTTGTGTCTAGTAAACGTAAAATTAGCAAAGTCGGTTTTTTGGTGAACACAAACTCTTTCAGAAACGTTAATAATACGTATATCTTAAGATTTTACTATCTTAAGATATACGTATTATTAACGTTTCGGAATTTATTTGAATATTAGGGAAAATTTTAAATCTAAATAGTCAGATCCAAGAACATAATTTCATTATATGTGAGTACCCATAAAATAAATCATGATATGTTGAAAAATATAATTCTTTCCTTTTAAAAATATGACTTTAATGACCTGCTATTCTATTCTAGTTCTATTATTACCTCCAGTCTTTTTTGACAAAATCTGCAGCTTTTTCACCAATCATATAAACTATTGAAGTCGTGTGTCCAGTAGGAGGCATCGGAATTACTGAAGCATCAACCACTCTAAGACCTTGGATCCCATGAGGTTTCAAAGAAGTTGGATCCACAACGCTCTTGGGGTCACTGACTGGACCCATCCGGCAAGTACCTATCTATATATAATAATATAATTTAGATAAGAAATACATTCAATTTATAATTATTTATGAAGGTCAACAAACCATGCAAAAAAGATTTAAAAATCGATTACCATCTTCAAAAAATAAAATAAATGTTTTCCAAAGAAATTTCTTTTTATTGGATCTAAGGAAAACAATTTGATATGATTAACATCAACTTTTATTATTACGATAAAAATAATACCGTAGCCGAATTATTGTTTTTTATCTGCTATAATTTACCTGATGATCTGCAGATCTAGTATTGCGCAAAAAGCATCTAAAATATGCATCTGACTCCTTTTCCAAGTGATCGCAATCTGCATCAGGAGGAAGATATAAAGTTGCATTGAAGGTAGATAATGCTTTAGTGCGAGTAAAGGCCACTGCCTAGAATATTTAAAAAATACATAAAACATATACAATGAAAAGACTACAAATTATTTTTCAGAATTTTTTTTTCATAATTTCTTAGTATGTTCAGTAGGTATATTATACTCTTATCATGGAATGTATTATTTTGTCTTACTTTTAATATTTGCTTTAATTTACTCACCAATTTCAGTCCCTCTACTAAAGTTTCCAGGTCCTCAGATTCTTCAAAGCAATTTGGATTAATTTTTGGGTGATCTGTAGGGTCTCGACTATATAGTTGAACATCCCCTTCACTCTCTGGATGCATCAACATAACAGTAGCATAAAATGAATCTCTTTTTTTCTGTCTATCTATATCATCGTACAAACCAGCAATATGGAAAAGTATTTCGATATCTGGAAGGTCAATGTTATATTTTTTTGTTTTCAACGATCCTACAGTTATCATTCCATCAGCAAGTGTGAGTGGTCCGATGCCTTTTTCAAAATAATCTGTGACATGTTTTTAGACGCTAAAACTCCGATGTCTACTTCCACTTCACCATTAATATCGAACCTTATATCGAGCCCAAGATGATCTCTTAATCCTTTGCCTACAGGTAAATCTTTTATCACTTGTATTCCTATGTCTTCTAGATGTTCTTTTGGTCCTATGCCAGATAACATTAAGATTTTTGGTGAGTTCAATGTACCTGCGCTAAGTATAACTTCTTTACTGACATAGACAGTATAATTTTTATCATTTTTAGTGAAATAGACACCATACGCCGTTTTCTTCACGGGGTCAATTAAAATATTCTTAACAAATGCGCCAGTGGCAATTGACAAATTCTTTCTGGAAGCAACAGGTTTTAAGAAAGCTTTATTTGCACTGCATCTACTACCATCTCTGAGAAAACTTTGAGGACGTATCATACCAGTTTGATTGGCACCGTTATTATCGTTTTCTTCATACCCTAACTCTCTTCCTGCTTCTATCAATACTTCGTCCAATAGTGTTTCAAATTTATTGGAATCTATGGTCAAATACCCACCAGTACTATGGTAAGGTGAATTCTGTAGATCTTGAATGCGCATGTCTTCGGATTTCTTAAAATACTCCAATACATTATTGTAATCCCATCCTATATTTCCCAAATCCTGCCATGTATCATAATCCTGTTTGTTTCCTCGGGCATACAGCATTCCATTTATTACACTTGTACCTCCTAAGGCTTTCCCTCTAGGATAAGAGCAGTACCCTTGCTCGTCCAAACAACATCGCGTCTGTGGTTCAGTTTTATAATTCCAATCATATTTAGATCTTTGTAACACACTAGCAAGTAGAGGCACATCAGTCAGAGGACTTTCTTGTTCACCAGCTTCCAAAAGCAGAATTTTCCAGTCCTGAATTTCCGACAATCTGTTGGCCATAACTGAACCGCCTGGTCCGCTTCCAATAATAATGAAGTCGTAGATATCATCAAATTCTTCTTTCAAGGGGATAGAATATTGGTCAGCTACTTGTTCAAAATATTCACTCAGAAGAGTTGCAGCATAATTTGAATCTTCTGGAGATAAATTTCTATCCAGTTTTTCTTTAAGGCGAATGAATGGATCATCTGATCCTGGTTCCTCTTTCAACTTGAAACTGTAAATACGGACAATCAAGCTTAACAAAATCAAAACTTTATCATTTTGAATAGTTTTTTTTATTTTCATGACTGCTGTATTTTATTACTGATATTGTTTACACAGGACTAGAATAGTATCACTTGTGGTCATGCTATTTATATGCCATATCATATTATTATTTCATACAATATAATGAAAAACATTCACTGGCAATTTACGTACATATGTGTGGCAATTTACGTACATAAATTTTGTGGAACTACTTAATATTTCATAAAAAGTATAAATTGGCAATTTACATGAATTATTTATTCGAAAATATTGAAACAACACCAGTAAAATATTCTTAACAAAGTCCATTACTTATCTATAACACTTAGAAGAATGTTAAAAATGCTTGGGTAATTATATACTTATTTCATCATTTTGATTAAAAGTCGACGAAGTGATATAGTCTTGAACAAAATGTATTAGCTAGAAAATTTTAATATTTTTTACGAAGATAATGGACATCCATTGAGGTGCAGCTTTCTATTGCTGTTCAAAAAAACATGTCTGCCATAACGGTTTAGAGAAAAATAATATTGTTCTATTCAAAGTATGAAATTTTGGTCAATGAAAAAATGGTGAAAAAGTATTTTACACGTCTTATAGAAAATTATGGTTTCAATTTGAAAAAAAAAACGTGTTTTCAAACGCACAATTGTGTAAATTGTGCAACATTAATGTTGCATTCAAAATATATTCTAAAAAATATATTTCCTAAGCTGTACAGACTGCAATTTGCATTAACAATGATACTATTTTAAATTGTTTATATTGAATATAATTTATGTTCAATGAATAATTTTTTTGCGTTATCAATAATTTTATGAATAAAATTAATAACTATATAGATAAAGTGATCGATATTTACCATAAAAATACTAAATATTATAAAAAAAAAGGTATTACTTCAATGAATGATTATATAGAACGCTAATAATTTGAGTGAATGTATATTTATAAATTTCATGTATTTTATAAAAATATTCTTGAGAATTCAAATTCTTGTTTTGGGTAAAAGTAATCAAATAATTTAGTATTTATGCAATTGATGATGGACACAAATATAATATTTGATATTTTTCTCAACGTTCTAAGTTATTATGAATTGTTTAATTTCAAACTTTTATCATCACAATTTATAAAAAGATAAATCTTAATTTTCATTATGATTATTTATAAATATCGGAAAGTTTTTGCTACTTGCCTTAGAGCAAAATTTTATTCGATTAACCATTATCAAGCCGAAATTAGTCATTTCAAAAAAACACGGATTATCTAATGAATAAAAAATGATACGGGTAAAGTAAAAAATATAGGAACTGATAACAAAATTGTAATAATTGATTCAATTGGATAATACTGTTTTGTATAATATATATATATATATATATATATATATATATAATGTTTATTAATCTGGATATTAAACAAGCACGCAATTGCAAAAGTTGTATTAATATATTCAGTATATATTACTAATCTATCATAAAGTAATATTTTATCTTATATTTACATTAAATTTGAATTTATTCAAGGGTTATTATTCTTTCTTATTATCAATTTGTTTAGTTTCTTCTTCGAGTAATAACTTATTAGTCTCGTTTTCTATATCCGCATGTAATATCTCCAAGTCATCATTCAACACAGATAATCTCTGAACCTTCTCGCCCTTTTCAGCCAAAATTTCTTCGATATTTCTCTTGCCATTCAAATCAGTAAACCAATTTAGATTATCTGCTATTAAATGATTATTTTGGCATCCATCACACTTGACAATGACAACGCCTTTGTTGTACGCCAGTTTTGAAATATGCTTTAAATTCCTCGTATTGCATTTTTTACAAGTGTATACTAATTGAAGTTTACCTTCTAATTTTGCAAGTGGTATAGATTGTGACTGGGTCAATTTGGATGTACTGATCAACTTTACACTGGTATATGAAACGGGACATCGATTTGGAAATATTGGCTTAGGTATATTCAACTTTGTTAAACATTGTTTGGACAATGATAATAGACCTAGAAATTTACTTGAATTCTGAAATGACATGTTTATTTCTTTATATCTTTATTAATATCATTCATCCTATTTAGACTGTAAATTTAGTTTTATGAATTCTTGTTAGTAGTTTGATAGTTAATAAAACATTGGCCACTTTTTTATAAAAATGCTCTACTTTGTGTATTATTGTCTCTATAATTGATATTTTATATTAAATTTTAAATAATAACTTTTACGTTGTACAAGGTTAAAATAATAGATGACAGTTGCCGTTAATTCAGCGATTTTGACAGTTTTTTTCGCTTTTGGTTAATAGAGGCAGCACAGTCGAATTTTGATAATAAATGGAATCAACATATCGATATAAAAATATCGAATCAAACTGTCATTAGTTAATTCTATATCGTAAACAGAAAATGCTCTGCTGCAAGTGGTAAATTGTACAAGAATTGACATGTTTTGTTTTAATTATATTAATTATTTTATAACAATTTCAAATAAAATCATTATGAAAATGTCATGTGCGCCAGCACCTTCACAATGTTTATCACTTTGACAGTTAGCGGTATGGTATATAGCAAAATGGCTGGAAACTGAATCAAACTTAAATATTTCGTTGTGATATTTGATGGCGAAATGTGTAATGTGATCAAATGTGGATAAAATGTCAAAACAAGTTAAACGCAAAATCACTGTAGAACTTCCTAAAGCGAAGGAATTGTTGAAAAATCGACTGAGCGTGTTTGACCGATTAGGGACCAAAAAACAGCCGAAAACAGCTCCAGATCAAACTGATTCTGAGGCGAAAGTTTGCAGGCAGTGGGCGCAGCAAGGGACTTGCTCTTATGGCAAATCTTGTAAGTATGCCAGTACACATAAATTAATAAGCCCATCCAAACAGAGGGCTGCCAAAATTCCGCAAGAATCGATTGCGACCAAAAGAAGTGAGGAACCTAACAAACGTTTACATTCTTCAGTAGTAGTTCGAACGGGAACGGGAAAGTCCGAAGCCTCACAATGGACCGACAATGACTTGGAGTGTGCTGACGCTGATGCTCTAGAGAAACGCAGACAGCAACTGCAGCGAGAACTTGAAGCTCAGATGAAAATGGAGTCCAAGAAGCCAATTAATGTAGTTGCTAAGAAAGAAGTGAAAAAGCATAAGTCTCCGACATCTTCTTCTTCCAGCTCTGCAACAAGCTCTGGTAGTAGTTCAAGTTCAGATGATTCCAGTTCCAGTTCAAGCACAACTTCTCATGAATCTCGAAGTAAGATTAAACGAAAGCTAAAGTCAAAAAGAGCATCCAGTTCTTCTTCTGAATCTGGGCACAAAAAGAAGCCAGCAGTGAAGGTTGTGAAATCAGGTCACAAACATGCTGTTAAGTCCATGAAAGTATCTACATCTTCTGGTTCAATAAAAAAGAAATTAATTGACAAAACCATACGCAAGAAATCTATTTCTCCAATTAGTAGATCAAGAAAACGCTCACTGACGCCGCCTCAAAAATCAAGAAGTATTTCAAAAACTTCACAGTCACGTAAGTTGGCACGTTCACCAAAATCTGATCGAAAAACACCTCCTTTGCATAGTAAAGATAAGCTAAGACATGAAAAAGAGAGAGAGAAAGAAAAATTACAATTAGTAAGTAAAGCTGAAGTTAAAGTACAACAGAGGGGTAGAAGTCGGGATAGAAAAGCTATTAAATCATCAAGAGTAGTTTCTGAAAGTAGAAGTGTAAAAAATGCTACTAGGCAAAGATCAAGCTCAGCAAGGAGAAACTCTCATTCTAGAGAGCAGAAAAGAAAGTCTTCCTTAGATAGAAAGGTAAGATCATACCTAGCATAAATGTTATCAATTTCTGCTCAATATTTCATGAGAGCTAAATTCAATATTTAGATAAAGTACAATTTTAAACCTAATATGACCATTGATAAACCATAAAGCTTTTCTTATAACTATTTTATTAATTAATTGATTTAAATATATTCACTTGTTCATAACAAAATTATTATTCAAGGCTTCACCTGCCAAATCTAGAACTAGTGGTTGCGGAAGCAGTAGCAGAAGAGACAAAACCCCTCCTCGAGATGATGCATCTAGAAATCGAGATGATAGGAAGCAGGCTCCAAATTCTTCTGATAGAAATAATCGAAGAAATGATTTAATAAAAGTAATTATATTACAGTTACAACTAATTAGAATGTTTAACTTTACTTTTAAATTCTTTTATACAAGAATTTTCCATTGCAGGACCGAAAACATAATGAGCGTGATACTGATAGAGACAGAGATAGAAGAGAGAGGGATCGTATTGAAAGAGAACAAGCTCGAGAAAAGGAAAGGGAGGAAGCTTTAGCACGGTGCCAAGAACGTCAGCGAGAAAGAGATAGGATTGCTAAACGAGAACAAGAGATTTCCAGAGGTAATTAAATATATATTTGTATCATATACAGTAATAAATAGATGTGTATGTACACATATGATTTGCTCTGCATTGTATTGCTTAATATCTGAACTCAGGCAGTAGTGACATCCATTTTCTCTTGAGAATTTGAAGTAAAAATATATTTGCAGTTGAAATAGCCATTTAGGGTACTGTGGAGTTAAATAGAAATGTAGTTTAATCAATGTGACCATATTTTTTAAAGTCAAAACTGGTACGGCAACAGTAAGTTCTGCTAACCCAGGATGAGAGTGGGTGCCATTGTGCTGAATATCTTAAATATGATGTGAGATCAGGTTTTTTAATATTTATTTAATGTTTTTTTTTAATCAGAATAGCTGACTTTTAGTAGGGCTTTATTTTTTATTATATGCTATATTATTAAATCATATGTTTTCTCCATAAATAACTTTAGCAAAACTTAGCACTTGTTTTCATAATTTTTGGTAATTTCATAAAATTGAAAATGAAAGACTGGGATTATTAATGTGAGAGGCTATTTTTAACCGGCTTTTGGAATTTTGATTTTGGCCATTTTTTCATTATAACATATTTATTCATATAAGCATACTGGGTTGTTGTAATTTTATTATCAAGTAATTGCAAATATTCAATTTATACCTATACTTTTTGGAAACTCGGGACAGAACATCTAAATCCGGGACAAATATTGCTTTCAGAAAATCCCAGGATAAAAGATGAAAAGCCGGTACTGTCCAGGCCAAACTGGGATGTATTGTCACCTTAGTTTAGTTTAGCTCACTAGTCTTCACTTAATATTTTATATTTACATAAATACATATTTTTATGTTGGAAATATATGCATATTTTGAATATAACCTTTATCTTTCATCTCATTAATAATGATAATTTGCTTTAAATTGTTCTAGAACGAAATGCAAGAGGCAGATCCCGCGGCGGACTTGATAAACCTGATAGAGATAAACCTGCACCCAGACTTCTTCCTAGACCAGGAGAGAGAGCTTTAGCATTGGCACAAGCAACAGGTTAAAAAATACTAAGTAGTAATACATTTATTTAATAAAAAATGACTTTTTTTAACATAGAGCATATTAAAATACGCATATTAAAATAAATATATGTATGTAATCTTATTACATATTTATTGAATAGCAAAATAAACTTTTAATTTCTAGGTAACACAGAAAAATTGGCAGCATTGGATAGAGCACATGCTAGAGAATTGAGAGGTGTTAGTCGTGATCGCCACAGAGACAGGTTAATATACTTAAATGCATCAAGTAATTTTTTTTGCAATATGTAAGTATTATTATTTATTATAGAGAGGATAGCTCTCGGGATCTAAGTACTGGTGGCAACAACAATGGAAGTGCTGCATATCATCACCATCATCATCAGACGCGCAGGGGTACACCACTATCACCAAGATCACCTCCTCCTATAGTTGTTAGGGAACGAGATAGAGAGCGCGATAGAGATCGTGATAGAGATAGGGTTAGTTATGATGGGGCTATGGGAATACCCTATGATGATGATGGTTTGGAAGGTGATCCACAAGCAGTTGCTGGCAGAAGACATGGTGAGTTAGATTGATGCTAGGGAAAAGACTTCTCAAAATAACTGCAGCTTAGGGTTAACATAATAAAGTTAAAGTCGTCATTACTTAATAAATTCTTATATTTCATTTATAATTTTTTATTATAGGGTACAGCAGTCCATTTGAGAGAGACAGAAGACGTGAGGATTGTGATAGATATGTTGATAGATATGATGAACGGCGCATCGAAACTACAGGTGATCTATCCAATGCAATCTTTTTGCAATGTTTTTTTAAATTCTTGTTTTTTTTTTAATTGTGATTGAATTTATTTATTTCAGATGAAAGATCTATACATCATTGGGATCGCGAAAGATCGCGAGATAACAGATCTAGATCAGGAGGACGTGGCATGTCTCAGACCATGTCTCCAAGACATATGGCTGGTATGGGAGACTGGAGAGAGGTAATGATAAATAGTTTGATTAAAAGTCTTACTGTATTCATAGTAATATTCTACAAAAATTGGTCGTTGTTTAGCGTTCGCCGATGATTATGGAGGGCTCTCGATGGACTCCACCACATGGTCACTATGAAGCAGATAGAGATAGAGATTCATTGCATGATCATAGAATGTGGCCAGGTAAGTTAATATGTTTTATAATCTTTAGAAATAAATCAATAAGAATTGAGATTCAACTATTTAGGTAAAATGTTCAATTGTTTATTTGGAAAATAAAATTTTCTCTTTTGCTAAAAGCTGTCTTTTAAACATACCTATAATATCTGTAATTGTATAAATAAAATTAATTTGTTTAACACATTTTATTTTATCCACATCTGGTTCTAAAAATGAATGTTATTTGAGTGTAAATGTCAACTATAATCAGTAGTACATACGAAACACGGAACGTGCATATGCTTCGGCATAGATATTAATTAGAATCACTTAAGCTCACGGCGAAATTGATTTTTATAATATTTTAGACTACGAAATCTCTCTTTGTACGAAAATACTCTAATATTTTTGTTATAATATTTTTATAAAAACTCTTTATACAAACTCTTTATACAAAAATACTCTAATATTTTTTTTTTTAAATATTTTAGACTACGAAATCTCTCTTTATACAAAAGTTTCATCAAAACCAACAAAAATAGTATCAACATTTAATTACCAAGAAGCGGCTCGACCGATCTCTACCAAAAACTTACCAGCCATTATCCCAACCATTATCTTTCAAACATTTTCTGAATTTGTAAAATCGATTCAAGATTGTGAGCTAAAACGCGGACGAAAAACTTACATTTTTCTGTTGATTACAAAGAAAGGGCTTGGCCGATCGTCGCAAAAGCTAATACTTATCGAACTACATCGAATGACTTTTAAATTTATGAAATTGGCCCAGCCATTTTTGAGAAAACGTCGACAAATGGTCAAAAATCGTTTCACATACACAGCATATATAACATATTTATTTCTAAATTTGGTCACATGCGATTCAGAATGACTTGGAACATCATAAAATAACATAGAATTAGCAAATGAAATTTTTTTTTATAAAGAATATAAAAATATAAAACTATGAACTCAGTAGATTCATGTGAATAGTTATAAAATAATATCAAGAACAACTATACTATTAATCATATGTGAAGTTTAGTCGATACAAAATTTTTTTAGTTGTATTTACTATATACTTAAATGAGGTTAATAGTAGATATTATATTTTTATTAGATCGAGATATCAGAGAACAACATCACAGGCAATCACTACCAGAAAGAGATCACGAAAGGGAGAGAGATCCTCTATGTGACCGGGAAAGAGATCGTGGTTTACCAAGAGGAGCAGCAGGTGGAAATTGGGAAAGGGAATGGCCACAAGATCGAGATCGACATCAAATTGCTGGAGGTACATTTTATCACAACCATTTTCTATCCATTATGCCACAGCATTTTATGCATTATGAAAGCATACATATTTGTTTCATTTATCCAGTTTTATTGCATACATTTCTGGTTTCAGGTGACATGGATGCATTACCAGTGCAGTCACAACATCCATATCGCCGCCATGAATCGCCATCAGTTTCAATAAAGCCTAAGACTTCTTTGGGTAATACAATAAGCAAAGAACAGAATCTGAAGAGGCCACTAAGAGATGAAATTAGCGAGCAAAATCCACGACCTGAAGATGCAAAGAAAAGATGCTCTGGACCAAGTGTTGAATTAAGAGATAGCTTAGTTGATGAAGATGATTTAAGCGAAATCAGTGATGATGCTGATGAGATACTGAATCGAGAAGATGTGAGTAAAATTAAAGGAAACATTTAATATATTGATATTATTATGATAGATTAGATCTTAGCACTAAAAGCATAAAATTTAAACTAATGAGGTTAACATGTTCTTTTCATGGCTATGTATTACAATTTAGGAGTAGAATTTATTCATATCTTCTCCCAGTTTTATATTTAGAACAAACTATATTAATTTCACATAGGTTGAGGAAGAGAGTTGGACGCCTCAAATGCCAGATCCGAATTCTCGTTCTCCAATTTTGAATGACATTAAAACAAATTTCCCTACACAAAATGGTTCAATAAATTTGAATTTAACTCAAGTTTTTCGTCCAGATTATGAACCAGTAAGATAACAGACAAAAATATAAACGGCGCATGTGAATGTTCTTTTTTTAAATGGATATATGTTAAATATATTTGTACTTTATCACAAATATCAGTTGGTTGCTTTAATATTTTAGCATGTAATGTATTTTACCATTATTTGCACTAATTTTCTTTATTTATATAAGAATTCAGATGTATTTATTTTTATTACAAGCAATGTGACATTTTTTATTATAATCGGTATGGTGAATGAAATTGTTTTAAATCTATTTTTTTTTTTTTTAATGTTGAGTATGTCCTGATTAATAGAAAAAAGCATCTGATATATTTTTAATGCAATATTTACATGTGTAGTCTTTTTCTGTACTTTTAGAAATTGATTGAGATAATTAATATCCATTTTGGCAAATGGATGATAAAATTTTAAAGTTTACAACATTCAACAAGTTATTCATTTATTTTATTTATTTCTATCACAGCTACTTGAAGACTTGATATTGCATTATTAATTATATTATTACTTAATACTTGATATTGCATTATTAATTATATATTATATTATTATCAATATTATTTTGAGTAATTTATTAAGCCTTTAATTATTTTAAAACTTTATTGCCCTTTCTGATCCAATTATCAAATGTATATTGAAGCTTTGTGATTGATTGTATTAATTGTTTGTTTTCAATTTAAAAGTATCAATTATTACAATAGAATTTTTCATTCAGGAACTTCCTGATGCGTCTACGAAGAGTGAAGATCAAGATGATGTACGTTACTCACCTCAGCCACAAGAAACAGCAAGCAATAATAAAATCTCAATAAGTGTTACATCTCAAGCAGATCCTAGCACCAAAATAAAACAAGAACCTGTTTCTGTTACTCCTAAAATAAGTGAAACAATACCAAAATCTGCAACAATAAATGGTGTTGGTGCTGTGAAAGATGATACTAAGGTTTCAGTAAATGATGAATCAAAAACTTTGAATATTGCAAGTGATAGTATGAAGGTTTTGAATAGCAGCGACAGTGCATTAAAAGGTTTGAATGATAATGAAGCCAATTCTAAAGGAAACGCTGTGGCTGCTCCTGAGGATGATGTCATGGACAGTCTAGATTTTGAAGAAATATCTGATGAAGAGCTTGAAGAAGAAACAAAAGCTAAGGGTAAGAATTTCAGCATTTGTGTTTGATTTAATAAATTAATTATTAATCCAATAATTCAATGCAGGTCTTAGTGATGTTTTGGGAGTAGACTGGGCGAGTCTTGTTCAGGAATCTAAGTCAAAATCAGTTTCTAATCAAAATAATTACAATGATCCCTCAAATCCTGATGGTGTGGGTGAAAATTCATCCAAACGTCTTTGGAGATACGAAGAAATTTTACTCAGAGTTGGAGTATCCATTGAAATGGCAGGACATGAATTTGCATCAAAAATACTTAAAGATATTGATACTTATCAAAATAGCTTGAAAAAGAGCAAAGATAATGTAGATAGCAATAATGAAGGAGATGTTGATGGAGTAAAAGTTGAAGAAAAGACAAAGTTGGAGCCTCCAAAAATACAAGCTTCGGTTATACTACATCCTATTGCATCCATGCAGGTTAGTATTTATTTTAAAAGTATTGTAAGAATGATATTATTTAGTAATAAAAATCCATGATAAAAGATCTATTATATGTTGATTGAATGTAAAGAGTAAATAATTATTCTCTATATAGATTTTTCAGTATATATAATTATTTGTACCAAACTAGAGTTCTTATTCTATTTATTTACAGGTGGCCAGCAGACAAAAAGCTAAAGCACGTGAAGAACTCTTTTCAATCAATCCTTCCATTCACTATTGTCGTGCTTTATCAGCAAGACGAGATTTAGCAATGAGAAGGCAATTATGTGATCTGCCACCATATCAGGATGAAACTCCTTCTCTGAAACCATGTCCTGATATGTTCCAGGCTACCCTCAAACTACTTGAGGAAAAAACATGATCCAAATAGGCAAGTTAAATAAATTGGAAAAAGAAAATAATTTTTGGACTTAATAGACTTTTTTTATTATTATGATTACAAAAATATTAATATACTGGTATTAGTGTTACCAATATATTTTAATATTAAAAATTGAATTTTCTTTTATATTTCGATTTTACATGGAGCTGTGAAGTGAAATGTATAAACACTGAACTGATCTACAAAATGTATATAAATTATGAATATATAATAGTATGAGATTTATATAGATATAGAGGTAGATGTTTTATGTCGATCTAATCAATAAATTATGTGAGTAAGAAAATAAATTATGTATAAAATATTTAAGTGAATTTTTATTAAGTATTTGGCTTTTTTAGAGATTTAACAGAAGTTAGTCTAAATATTGTAAAAATTAAAAAATACTTTAGTGTCTTTGTGTAAGTTCTGAACTTAATCTGTGCAGTATAATTCATTTGTCCAGTGGAATTGTGTTAGGGTTACCGTATAAATATATGTACAAAAATAATCTACTCACAGCATTTTAATGCTTCAATAGATTTCTTTAAATTAAAAGAGATATACAGTTGTTTTAAATTAAGTTTATTTCTATAAATTCATTTTCGATTTTCAAGATTTTTTATTGTCTTGATTTTTTCTTGGTGATATTTTATAATATTATATTATTAAAATACATAAATTTATAATTAGGTTATCTATAATGTTACAATTTCAAAACAATGTACATGTGGTCAAAAAAGCAGGTGTGAATAACCTTTATCACTCTGAGGAAGATTTTTTATATTATTTTCCTAACATTTTATCTTATTAATTCATTTTAATAAAGTTTAGTAAAAATAATAAAAAAATATTTATAAAGTCTGAAAAAATTTTACTCAAAATAACTAAAAAAATATTCATGAAAGGTAAGTTTTATAACATAACAGATTGATAAATGTTTTATATTTTGTAGTGTGATTTGACTAAAAAGAACAAAAAAGTTTATAAAAGAAGACCTTTATAAAACTGAAAATTTAGTTCAATATTTTATTTTAAAAGGCAGTATTTTGTACTACCTCTATTTCGTGAAAAACTTTACACACTTGAATTCAATTATTTGTATTACAGTATTTTTGAATAGTAAATTATTCCAAGTATAATAACATACAATAAGTATGTTAATTATACTTAAGTATAAGACATTAATATCTATTCAACATTAAACTAAAAATACAATTTAAATACAAATTGTGCAACTTTGTTCACATAACAGATTTGTTACAGCCTTGCTGCATCTACTAGTTGATTGATTGTAAAAAATTAATAAAATTATAGTAATTATTCACAGTTAATAAATAATAAATATAATAGATAATAAATATTTTATTATCTAAATAATTATTTATTAATAGCCCATTATCATCTCATCTTCAAACATTTTATATCATATGATAATAATGGGCTTAGATAAGAGATTTGTTACATGTAGGAAAAGATCACACGTTATTATTATTTTTCACACTTATTAAACACAAATAAAACAACTGTTGAATAAGTTAATAGATAATCAACTGTTATGAACTTATAAGTGAAAATTTTTACTGGAATTTTTTACTCCAAACATTATGTCTTACACATCATACATGATGATATATAATTTTAATAAATAAAAAATCTGTTAGTACATCTTATGTACATATTATATAAAATTTTCAACAAAATGTACACAAAAATTATTGATTATATCTATTCATAAATATAAAAAGAGTGTTATATGTGTTATATAATGCTTCATTAACTTCCCGTAGGGTAAGTTATTGTAATGGGCCGAAAATCGGAATTGAAAATTTTTACATTTCTCGACGTTTTGAAGGTTTCTGAACGTTTTGGCATACCTCAGAAAAAATGGATGTGTGTGTGTGTGTGTGTGTGTGTGTGTGTGTGTGTGTGTGTATGTATGTATGGATACAAATTTCCAGTCACGTTTCAGGGCGCACGGATCAACCGATTTGAATGGTTCAAAAAACATTCGATTCCTATTGATAGGGAAAAGAGCTGATTAGTTTTTGGCAAAGGCAGGTCCAGCCGTTTCGGAGATACGGAGCAAAGAGTGCAGAAAATAGAAATCGAATTTTTGAGAGAACGGAGTATCCGATTTGAATGATCTAAAAAACATTCAATTAGTAATGATTGTGAGAAGTGTTCATTAGTTTTTGGCAAAGGCAGGCCCAGCCATTTTGAAGATACGGAGCTAAATATGTAAAAAATGGCAGTTTTTGAGAGAACTAAGCGTCCGATTTAAATGATTCAAAGAACTTTCTGCTTGTCTTAACAAAATAATTGATTTTGGAAAAAAAAATTTTGTTCCATTTTTTTTTTTTTTTTTTTTTTTTTTTTTTTTTTTTTTTTTAGTTTTTTGTATATCGAAAATATTTCAGATTTTATTTTTAATTCTGACTATAGTTCTAATATACTTTACAAATAATTTCAACTCTGCAATTCAGTTTATATAATTCTTATAAATATTACACAATGTTACAATATTTATAATAATCTATTTGAAAACATTCAGTATTCCTCGAACATTTCGTTACGGTACGGGAAGTTCCAGCAATTTGCCTTAAGGCACGATGCCATAATTGCCTCAAGACAGAATTCCACTTACAGCTAGTTTCATTTTAAATTCAAATCAAAATAAAGTTTGAAAAACCGCATGAAGTTAGCGTTGCATTCAATTTGAAACGTCCAATTTGCAACAATATAAAAAATATATCAACAACCAAAAATTATAACACTTCTGTCATAAGAAATAAAAAAAACTTATTATTTGTGTCTCAAATAAATGTTATTGCAAAAAAAGAATTTAACAACAATATTAATAATTTTTTTAAGGACAAGTTTTGATCTAGATCTAAAAAAGGTTTGACAGGCCTGCCTAAAAATTAGGGGATAAGCATTATTATCCTTGACTTTAGATGACCTCAGATATTGTTTATTCCAATTTCATGAATATCACATGCCCGTAAGTCCAATTTAAACATGTATTGAAAAATTAAACTGTTGTCATTTAAGCTTCAAATTACACACTGACAACGGAGAAGTACAGTTTATTTCGCAATCGTTATGTTAACGTTTTCTCTTACATGTATGAAAGTTATTTAGTTATAATTAAAAATGGCTCTGCAAAGCTTGAAAGGTTTTTCTAAATTGTTAAACAAATGTTCGAATCGTGTTTCATATTTAACTGTAAGATGTGCATCTCAATATTATGACATAGATGATAACATATTTGGATTAAATGAGGATCAGGTTCAGGTAAATTTTTAATTAAAAGTACTATATTTACTAGATATAATTTATAAAGGTAATTTTTATCTGGTTATATTATTGTTTTAGTTGAGGAAGACCATTTTCGATTTTGCCCAGAAAGAATTAGCACCTAAAGCAGCTGAAATTGATAAAAATAATACCTTTAAGTAAGTTGTTTGGATATATCAATAGTAATTAATGGTAACATAATATTGTTATGGATTTATTTTATCAAACCATTTATAGAACCAAATTGATGTGTTTTTTAATAAATTAATTATCTTACATATGACTCGAACAGGTAAATATCATATTAATGTAATTCAGTTGTCTCACGAGTGACTTAAACTGATGAATATGCATTGCCAATAATGATGAACAATATTGCTAATGTAATTATAATTCAAATATTTTACTCTTGATTTAATAATGTATTATTCTATTTAATTATTTCACATGGCTATCTATTAAAAGAAAGAGTTTGCACCTAAAGCAGCTAAAATTGATAAAGATAATACTTTTAAGTAAGTTCAATTGTATATATAAATAATTATTAATGGTAATATAATGTTGTTATGGATTTTTTATCAAACCAGTAACAAATGTATGCATGGGGACTGCACGAAAACTTTCTTTAGCAAATCTTTGAGAACCAATTTGATACATATTTTATAATTCTATTGCCTTACGTGTGACTCGAATAGGTAAATATCTATGACAACCACTCTGATATTTTATATGAAAACCCAGTTGTTTTATTGCTAAATTGTAATTGGTATTCAAAAGTGAATATTATTACCTAATAGTTAAATGCATTAAGTTTATATGAAGAGAGATTCTTCAGCAAATTCATAACAACCATTTGTTATATTTTTTTTAAAAAGTAATTTAAGTAAGTTATATCTGGATTATATCAATGTATCTATTAAATGAATTTTTGTTCTATTGCAGAATAGTACAAAAATCTTTTATAATACTCTAGATATTTAGCAAACACCCTTTTTATAACTGAGAATTATTGATATTGAATCTATTATATTGATATTAATATACACACACCTTTCTCTCTGATATGCCACTTAAAAAAAAAATCTTTCATCTTCAGTTCAATCATTTATATTCATTTATGTAATGGAAATATTATATTTCTGTTTTTATTTATCTATTTTAAAATTATCTTATTATTTTAGAGAACTGAGAGAGTTCTGGAGAAAATTAGGAGACTTGGGAACACTAGGAATAACTGCTCCAGCAGAATACGGTGGAACAGAAGGCACATATTTAGATCATGTTATTATCATGGAAGAATTATCAAGAGCTTCGGGAGCTATTGCCCTCTCATATGGAGCTCATTCTAATCTAGCAATAAATCAAATTCGAAGGAATGGAACTGATGAGCAAAAAGCAAAATATTTGCCTAAAGTAAGAAATTGAATTATCATAAAAATAGATCAGTCAAAGTATAATTTTAAATGTGACTTGGAATCATCTTCAATTTAATTTGAAGCAACATTTTTGAACCAAGTGTTTTAGTCCATTCTTTAATTTCTTCTTAATTCTTAATTTATTATTTTGTTTGATATTGGTTTATTTATTATTATATATTTTTATGATATTGATTTATTTATAACTATTTTATGTACATTTACTTGGTTGTATAATCTTATTATATTTATTAAATAATTTTTCTAGCTTTGTTCTGGTGAACATATTGGAGCCCTAGCAATGTCTGAACCTGGTTCTGGATCAGATGTAGTATCTATGAAACTAAGAGCAGAGAGGAAAGGTGATTATTTTGTTTTCAATGGAAATAAATTTTGGATTACTAATGGCCCAGATGCTGATACTTTAGTGGTACAGTATATTTTTGTCATTAATGATAAAAATGTTACAATGTTAGATAATAACTGTCTAAAATCATCTGAATTGATTGCAATTTTTTCATTATTTATAAATTAATAGAAATAGTAATATGATAGATGTTATGATTTTTATATTAATATATATTATTTATTTAAAAATATTTTTTCTTACAATAAGGTTTATGCACGTACCAATCCAAATGTAAAGCCTCAACATGGAATTACTGCATTTATTGTAGAAAAAGGTTTTGAAGGATTTAGTACTGCACAAAAATTGGATAAACTTGGAATGAGAGGCTCAAATACTGCTGAACTTGTTTTCGAAGACTGTAAGGTATAAATTATATTTATTAGGATAAAATTTGTGTGACCTCTTTGATTATATTCTTATTTTTCTTATAATAAATTATTTATTCTAGGTTCCAGCAGCAAATATTTTAGGTGAAGAAGGCAAAGGAGTTTATGTTCTTATGTCTGGTTTAGACTATGAGAGATTAGTTCTTGCTGGTGGTCCTTTGGGGCTCATGCAAGCAGCTTGTGATATTGCCTTTGAATATGCACATACTAGAAAACAATTCAATACTCGAATTGGTGAATTTCAATTAATGCAAGGCAAATTGGCTGATATGTACACTACCTTGAGTGCTTGCAGAAGTTACGTTTATTCTGTAGCAAGGGCATGTGATGCAGGAAAAGTTAATAGTAAAGACTGTGCTGGTGTTATTTTGTACTCTGCAGAGAACGCAACACAAGTCGCATTAAATGCAATCCAAGTTCTAGGTAAATAATTAATATTTTGTGTAATAAATAATGTTTTACTTATTCATTATCAAATATTTTTGATTTCAGGTGGTAATGGATATATCAATGATTATCCTACCGGAAGAATTTTGAGAGATTCCAAATTGTATGAAATTGGTGCTGGTACATCAGAAGTAAGGCGATTATTAATAGGAAGAGCTCTTAATAAAGAGTACAAGTAAACGATTTATGGATAATATGTAAATAATTATGAAAGTATGTATATAGAAACTCTCACACACATATATATATATATATATATATATATATATATATATATATACATATACATATATATGAATGAATAACAAATGTATATAATTTATAATGCAATTTTTATACGGAAATATATAATTATTTTAGTTAAATCGGATTTTCTTCCAGTTAATAATTAACAAGTAATAATTATAAATTTCTTTATTAATAAATTCCAAACAACTCACTAAACACAATATGTTACAATTTTTTTTTTAAATCTTTTAAATTTTTAATTTTTAAATCATTTTTTAAATTTTTAATTTTCAAATCATTTTTATAATGTTTTTAAATATATAAACAACTGCTAAAGAAAAGTGTAAAAAGAGTAAAGAATTAATTAATTTAATTATCTTTAAAGAAGTAACTAATTGCCTAACTTTTTTTAAAATGCATATACAAATGTACTTTTTAATTTTAGCAAAAATATGATTAGAATCGATTATAATTATTGATGAGGAATAAAAAAAATGTTTATCTTTAGAAGATTAAACTAATTCTTTTTTTTAGTAAAATAAGGATAATGAAATGATCAGGTTTAGTGACAATTGGTGCCTTAATATACTGCATATGCTTTACAAACTGTTTTTTTACAGAAAAAGTGAAATTAGTGTTAGTGTTAGTTAGTAGTTTTTGTTTTTGTAAATCAGTGCTTTTCCAGTGTTACAATAATATAGAGACACAAGATCAGGAAGACCTTGATTTGATGAACTATTATGGTTACGCAGAAACTTTTAAAAAAATCTAATTTGAAATATGAAGCAGAAATGTGAGAAATATAATGCTGGTTGGCTTTCTTTGGAACATGCTGTTGAATATGCTGTGAGTGATCCTGCATGCCTGTAAGTTTTTTTTTTTTTTAAATCGATCTTCAATCTTTATTATTTCATTATTATTATATTATCAAATAGTATATTATTATTATTTAATATGTTATTAAATAGATTAGACAACTCGCAAACTTTTAATGGAATTTGCCAAGACACTTTAGTAAGTTTTTTCAAAGAATTTAAAGTCGGCCAATTTTGAAAATTTTAAACATATAGTTTAACAAATAGTCTTAATTATAGAAAAGTTTGGGCAATTGTGTCTGCATTTTTGACTGTGGTCTTAGGAATATTATTAACCGAAAAATGGCCACGGTTTGACCACAGCTCTAGTTTGGACTTAAACTAAAAACTTATAACTTTCAAAGTGCATGGGATAAAAAAGATTTATTTTTTTATAATAGCCACCATCAATACTGTCACTCCGTTTTGGCTTGACTTTGAGTGAATAGATCTTAATTAAAAGTCAAAATTATAGCAATAACCATTTTGTTTTATTCAGCATACAACTTTTCTAGGATTAGAAAACATATGATTTGCAAGCATTCATTACATTATATATTATACAATCAAAAAGGCAAATTTATATTTATATTAATAGCTTTAGATATCTGGTTATATATGTCCAAACACATGCACAGGTACATATATATATATATATATATATATATATATATATATCCTGTGCAAATTATATCTTAACAAATGATTAATTCAAAGGAAATCCCTTCGATGCGTTTTCTTAAGCCTAATATGAGAGAACAATATTCTTAACATAATAATATTATGAAGCCAAACTTAAGCTTTTGCACTTAGCTAGAATGAAAAATGTCTTTATATTAATAGTCAATGATGTATGTTTTATGATACATAACTAGTGCCGAAAATGACGAATTAATTTGTACATTATGTATTAGATTGTATTTTAATTTACTTTAGTTATATATGTATATGTATAAATTTATTTAGGAATGCATACATTATATATATATATATATATGCAGATATACACATGTATATATTATAATATAATACAGGAGGCTTCCAACTCATCACAATCTAGAAAATCTTAAACAATGTTTTCAAGTCATAATATTGAGACTAACTACAATTAATACAATTTATATTCATTAAAATAAAAATATACTTTAATGAATTATTACGAATCTAGAAATATTCTATTAAAGATTGCATCCAAACTTTCACCTCCCATGATATCAAAAATGGTTTTTATGAAAATATGTTATTTCATGGACAGTTGATAGGTACTTAGTATTAAATTATTATATATTAAACGATATAACATTCATAATATATTTCAACACATTCAAGATTTAAATTATAAAACGATCATTTTAAATTTTACAAAACATTCCAACTCAAATAGATTTTTAAATCAACTAATTACTCACTATATCCAGGTATAAATGAAATATTCTTAACAAATATTTAAATTAATTTATAAATATTATTAATAATATGTTTATAAGTTATTTACAAATAGATGCTTAAATATGATACAGCTACTCCGCAAACCAAACACATATATTAATGATTAGTAGCTTTGATTTGTTTTACAAATATAAAGTGTTAATTATTTGAATCTATTGTCGATAATTTTACTAATATCGACATTTAAATGAAAATAAAAATGACTATAAACAATAAATTTCACAATTGTAGTACTAGAGTTAATAGTTCAGGATTAACTTTAGATTTCACAGGCGAAGTTTTCTGGCTTCGATTTTATTGCATGTTCTTGTTCATATTTAATTTATTTATATTTTAGAAAATAATTTACATCTTGTAATATTTTTTTGCATTTTGCGTATATATATATATATATATATATATATATATATGTTGTGAATTTATTAGTGAGAGTAGCAATATAACAACGAGAACTGTTTTCTGGTAAGAGTCATACAAATATAGATTTAGCTTGATAGATTCTAATCAGTTTTTGTTTACTATATATATTATAATAAATTATGAGAGGAGACAAAAAATACTTCAAAACAAAAGCTACAATAAATTGATTTATTCAATTAGAATTAGTACCTGCAATATCAGTTCAGCAGAAATGCCCAAAGCAATGTTTCTCAATAAATTCTTATATGATTCTTGGTTTCAAATAAGAATCTATTGCATTTTCTTGTGCAAATTTAATGTAAAATGTTTTCACTATATTCTTATAGCGAAAGGGTCATATATCACTACTCGAATGCACTCTTATCAGAAATCCATCTACGTGAATGCATTAATAATATGATTTATATATTCTTATAATAAACATAAAACAAAACAAGATACCTTAAATGGTATTTTCGTATTTAAAGTAACAATAATTAACTATTTATAAACTTGCCATTTGCATGTTTATCTTATCTATATAGGTACATTTATATGACGTTCATATATTTAATTGTCGTACTCAGTTATGATCATTTTATAAATATTATTTATAAATATTATATATAAATATTTCTAGTTCCTCCTAAATTTCTTTTGATGCTTTCTCCAAACCAATGAGCAATAATTATTGTTACTAATAAATAATAAAATAAATAAATATAAATATATAATAACACGGTGAAAGTTTTTTCATGCATCCATCCGTTTATTAAATGATTCACAAAGTTACTTAAAACATATTCAACATTTTGCAACTCAACTCAGTTTATATTCACAGTCCTACGTTGTTTAGGTCCATTTTTATTAATTTTTTAGGTCTCTAATTTTATCTAAATCATTTTCGTAATTTGCACTGAAGATGAGCTAAACCAAGGCTCGAAACATTTGCAAGCTTAATTAAAAATGTTTTAAACCTAATTTTGTTCATTTAATAATTGGATGGATGCCTGGTAAAACTTTTCAGTATATAAATAAATAAATATATATATATATATATATATATATATATGTATAAATATCCCAATAAATGGCAATTAAGAACTATATTCCTGGTTCTAAATAAGAGTACTGAACGAACATAATTGCAATAGAATTTATTTATAATGTTATAGGGCCATTACTCCTATTCCAATATCAATACAATGAAAACTGTTGACCAAGCAAAAATAGCTTTTTACTTGGTTTGACTATTCTATTTAATAATTTGCTCGGATGCCATAGTCAAATTCAAAACAATCGATAAACCTACAAGAGCTATAGTTCAATAACCAGATGTAGTACTATTATCACAATTGACAATTTATATGGCAAATCAAACTAAGAAGGTAACAGTTTCCTCTCACGCAATTGCGCTGCCCGAAACTGTTGCCAACCGTGCTCGTTGCTGTCGTTCCTGCTGCTTTTGTTTCGCACTATCACCATTGGTATCACTGTTGGATCGTACCGCAGACATATTGTTTCCGGAAGCAGTATTGCTTCCTGCTGCTAATGGTGACGTTAACCCATCAGACGACGTCACATTGTTGACTGATGTAGCAGAACTATTGTTGACGGCGGTGCCACCAGAGTTGTTGTTGTTTCCACTACTTGCTGCTGAGAGACGTCTTGGCCGATGGTGGGAGGATGATTCGTACAGGGAGGACGTGTCTGATTCTAAGTCTGAATCGATCTGATGTTGGCAATATATAGATATGTTACATGAGAATAAGCCAGAAATCTGAGCGATAGAATAATATTTTAGCCAAACCGAAATACAAGGTGGTATCAAGGTATTTTTTACTTTTTACTAGTTTTTGAATATGTAAGTGATGGTGAATGATTTGCTCTACATATTTATTGAGGAACAATAATTTATATCCAGAGAAACTCAAAAACTCAAAAAAATCCAAAACTTCAAAGTAAGATATGGAGGTATGTATATTCATTAAGTAAACAACAACACATTAATATTTTTCAATTATGTAAGTAATCATTGTCAACAGTTTCTTCTAAACTCTTAGATCTTTACAGATCAACTAGGGTGCGTCTTCACCTTGTCCAGTATTTAAGCTTAAATTAGGGAACAATTTCGGAATTCGAGGTACCGAGCTATAAGTCTGTAAATACTTGTATATTGACACCCTAAAGTTGTCTCAAAACCTACGTAAGGTAGGGTGTCAATACCATATGTAGGCTTTGAGACAATATACAAGTATTTACAGACTTACTTGTTCGTCATGTTCGTTAGGAGAGTACGCACCTTTAAGCAAATCACTCACAAGCACTTTCTCATCCAATAACCACTATTGCCATTGCATGATTTAACTTGACTTTATGCCAATAGCCTTTATTCAATATTTTCTATATCTTTACTAATGTAATACTCAATTTTTTATTAATTTTTATCCAATATCATAGCCTATCACCAGAAATCAATTGTTACCTGTCTGGAGTTCGCATTGGTATAGCACAGTCTTTCACTAGAATCCTCTGATCCGCAACTAGAACTTTGACTAACAATAGGAGGAATAGCACTGCTGCAGATCATATTCGTGTTGGTGTTCATTGAGCCTACGCCACCAGCACCTCGGGTGCCTCGTCTGCACACCTAATAAAAAATAAAGGTGAGTGATAATAGAACAACTAGTATTTCTTTCTGGGTTTAATTAATAGGATTTGATAAGATCTAGTAATTCTTGGCTTATTTTAAATGTACATCTAATAACTTACCTGGGCTTGTATATGTTCACAGACTCTCCTAAATCTTCGGGCGCTGCCTGATAATAAAGTGAAGGTTATGGCATGCAAAGCTTGATCACAGTTAGATTGTTCGTTCCTGAAACAGACAAATTCCATCAACCAATTTATCCAGGGTGGTTACTGCAGTATGTTTTCTAGATACTCAGGTAATAATATTCAAATCTTAAATTATATTTTAAAATTTAGTTCCATTATAATCCTGTACATACCCATCTCCAGAAATTTGAGGAGGTTGAACAATAGTAGCAACATCAACTTGAAATCGCACCAGTCTTTGAAAAACAGCCGAAGGCGTACCACTGCCCCGTTTATACTCCACCCGAAATGATAATGCAGACAGAACTGCATGACTTAGTTCCGAAACCTGGTAAAAATGGATTTTCTCACTTGTTATTCGAATATACAAACAATATTTTGGGAAAAATTGAGGTCAAAGCTGAGATGTCTGTCTTGTTTAATGTTTCTTACCGACAAGAAGCGTGTATCAGGTCGGCTTTAACCATTGCAAGTGGTTTTCCTTTGACTAGAACCGTGAAAGTTTCATCTTTTTCTCCAGACATTAATGATCCAAACCAGGAACGTTTCGTAAGCTCTGGAGACGAGTCTGGCGTCAAATGCACCTCCTCAGACGACGCTGGAAAAAAAAGAATTATGCAATATTAAATACATAATAATTAATGATAATTAATAATTCTTAAATAGAACAATATGTAAAAGCTTTATCCATAATGATAAGAAGTAGCATTTTTTACCTTGCATTTTCCTACGATGAAATCTGGGTGAGCCCAGAAAATTATTCTTAATTGTGTTAAGACGAGATCTCCAGTGTTGCGTTGATCCTGCACTACTTGCAGATAATGATCTAAAAAATATATGAATTTGGAATGAGCAAGAGTGATTAAAGTGATGTCAAAGTATATTTGACATCACTATGCGTGATCTCTAAGTAAGGAATTTGGATTTGACCATTGAACTTATATTTATGAAGGCTGTTTTTATATTTATATTTGACAAAGTTGGAAAAATAATTTACCCAGTATTCAGTCCTGCTAGTACATCACTGTCTATCACTTCTGTTAGCATCGGTGACATTGGTGTTGACGTAGACGTTGATCCAACTTGCAGTTTCTATTAAATATTATAATCAATATGTTTTATAATTAGTAGGAACAATATAAATATATGATATCGAAACAATTTATTTTTTACATTTTGTTGTTGCAGGTGCGTCGTAAGTTGTTGGGTCTGAGCAGCCTGCGACTTCATCGTCGATCCTGATGTCACACTTGCTGACATCACCGATGGTGCCATGCCTCCTCCAGGCGATGTCACCCCTGTAGATGAAGTCAATGGAGATGCCGAAGAAGCCACCACATGGTGACGCGTTGGTGAGGTGACGCTGGATGAAGTCATTGACGTTGTCATTACTGGACCCACACTGGGCGTCCGTCTTGATCCATGTTGTCGGCTGGAGGAAAAGGTAAGGTAATGAAAATGCAAAATAACAAAAATCGATTTTTCAAAAAATTTAAGTACCCCTAATCCCTTTATATAAGGGTATGATAGAATTAGAACTATGAAATAGATTAGGACTTTGCTCTTAAATTTTACTAAAATGTTATGGTACTATATTCATATAAATAAATATATTCTTAAGTAAAAAATATATATAATACATTATACGGTGCAAAATATAAGATAACTAAATATTTAAAGAAAACAACAGACAAATATTTAAAAAAAATAAACCAATCAAAATTAAATGGTTATATTAGAAATTTATCAAAATTAACATATGTTCATTTTCTACAGCAATTTATAACAGTCAGAAAAGATTTAAAATAATAATAATATGAGTACAAATAAATCCTGGCAATGAAAAAATATTAATAAATAGATATTACTAAATACATAAATAAATATATAAATAAAAATACTAACTGTGCAAGAGCTTCATCAGTATAATGGTCCAAATTAAACTAATCATCAGCCCATACATCTAATTAAACATATAAAAGAAAACAATAAGAAACACACATAATAAACATAACAAAAAATAATCACATAAATATAACACAATAAGTATAATTTTTATTATTTAATATTTAACAATAGTGATTTGAACTAAAAGCAGATTTGATTACATAATTTGAAATAAATAGTGGCAAAAACCATGTATTTCAACTTTTATTCTACTTCCTATTCTGCAAAATTATAACAAGAAGTCAAATGTGATATTTTTACTTACAAAAGACAATGAATTTAATATTTGTAATTTAAAATTTATTCAGATCACTTGTATTCTAAAACGTATAGCAATAAAAATGTTTTGTTTTAAGTTAAGAAAAAAAACTATATTTAAAAACTTTCATGAGCCAGAAAAAAGTCAGTTGTATTTATAACTCAACATGGTTGTTTATTTATATTTAATTTTAGTTAATATTATGTATTTTTTAAATCATTCAAAATATGTAACAATTGTTATAAAAAAAATAAACTTAGTTTTTTCTTTGCAATATTTGGATCAAAGTCTTTTGTTTGATATTAAAGATTTTTCATCAAACACTATACTATGTGAAAAAACAATCAAAGTATCAATTAACCAAAACTAGAATCACAACACATATATCTAAAATAATTAATTAAATTTAAATTAAATTAAGTGAACTATAATAATTAATTTTTTTTTCGCATTAATTAGCAGAAGTAATTAATAAAAAGATAAAAATACACACTGTGAATGAAGTCTCCTTGGAGCTATCGGACTTCCTTCGCTAATTTGAGCAAAAGTCATGGCTGCTCTTCCGTTTATTCGACACGTGTCCAAGCGTTTCCGGGGAGGGTCAATCAGTCCAGTTCCGCCTGGTGTAATATTCAATTATTAATACAAAATTTAATATTATCAACTAACAACTAATTCTTCTATAGTCAATTTTATTTTGATATCATGGAAAGAATAAATTTGTTATTTATTGAAGAGAAACAAATTATTTTTAATCGGTCATGATTACCATGAGTCATTAATTACCAAGTATGGTTAGAAAGTTTCTTTCGATATAATGACTTTTAGTTATATTAATTTACCCGTGCTTCCAACACTAGCTGCTATTCCAATATTAGAGTCATCTTCATAGGCAGGTCTTCTTCTTTTTCGTTCCAGAAGTAAAAAATATATCACCTTCTCTGTGTTGTGACAAGGGGACAGCAACTCTCTTACCAGTTTATCACGTTCCTGAAAATAAAATAATAATTTAATTGAGATATAGAAATTTTTTCTTATTTTTTGTTTTAACTTCCCGAAAGAGGAAGAAAATCAGACTTGCTGAGTTTTCTCAAAGTTTTAAGTTATTCTGAATAGTTTGAGACCAAAATTAGAGGACCCTCTTCCTCCAAAAGTGCTGAATCAAAATTTGTCGAAGAAAATTAGACTTGCTGAGTTTTGAGACCAAAATTGCAGGACACTCTTCCTTTTTTTTGTTTTAACTTCCCGAAGGAGGAAGAAAATCAGACTTGCTGAGTTTCCCCTATGTTTTAAGTTATTCCGAATAGTTTGAGACCAAAATTGGAGGACCCTTTATAATTTAAAAAAGTGCTGAACCAAAATTTGTCGAAGAAAATTAGACTTGCTGAGTTTTGAGACCAAAATTGGAGGACACTCTTCCTTTTTTTTGTTTTAACTTCCCGAAGGAGGAAGAAAATCAGACTTGCTGAGTTTCCCCAATGTTTTAAGTTATTCTGAATAGTTTGAGACTAAAATTGAAGGACACTCTTCTTCCAAACGTGCTGAACCAAAATTTGTCGAAGAATTAAACTTGCTGAATTTTCGCAAAGTTTTAAGTTATTCTGAATCGTTTGAGACCAAAATTGGAGGAAGAGTATGTGTGTGTGCTGAACCAAAATTTGTCGATGTTTATTACTTATTTTCTTAAAACGGCTGCACCGATTTCAATATTTTTAAAGATATTTGATAAAACTCGACAATTATTCTTGATGAAATATTTGGCCAAATCGATTATATGGAATTACCACAACAGTGCAATACTTATTCATACAGTCCATAATATAAATGACAATTTTAATTAACATTATGCCAATAAAGTTCATGGTCTTAATAAAAACGCTAAAACATAATGAGCCCATACTTTAGTTAGAAAAATTCATTAAAATTTTTCTATAATTTTCATGTAAAAATTCAAAATTCTCATTATAATATTAAAAGTTGCTAAATCTGAATTCTTCTGGATTAAGATGTTTTTTACTCATATCAGAAAGCTGATGCAATATGCCTCAAGTAAGGTGACCATACATCCCGGTTTGACCTGGACAGTCCAGGATTTCCATCCGGATTTTTCTATAAGCAATAATTGTCTCGGATTTTGATCTTTTGTTCCGGATTGCCCCGGGTTTTCAAAAATTATAGGTTTAGTTTACTTGATAATAAAATTACAGCTATACTCATCAGATATATGAAAATTGTATATTATGACAAAAAATGACGAAATATCACGTGGGGAGGGAGGGGTGTAGTAAGATATTACGTGTATTTATTTTTTACCTTAAAACTCTTAACATTTTCAAAAAAAATTAAAAAAAATACAATTTTTCTAGTAACTAAAAATACAAGTAAGTTTTGGTGGGTTAATTTTGTATCTACATCAAGGATGAGCAACCCGCGGCCCGCGGGCCGCATGCGGCCCGCCGGATGTTTTTCTGCGACCCGCCAAGCGTTCCTCACTACAGATTATTTTTCTAGATATTTTACAAATACGGCTGTAAGGCTAATTTTGTTGTCAGTCAAATACTGGTAAAACTGTTTTCGCAAAATAGTATTTCCCTATAAAATAAATATTAATTTAAATATTAGTTTTAACAATATTGTTAGAAAATTGAGGAACTTTCCGAAAACATAGCAATGATGCATTTCCATATTTAAAATGATTAAATAAGTATGTTTTATAAAATCGCGAGGGTTAAATCACCGTAAATTTATAGAATTAGTGAGCAATTCAGAGCGTGTACGAGTATATGGCGATAATTGTAGAACTTTCGTCATTTTGGTAATAAAGATTAATATCTTCTGCAGAATCTTGTGTTTCACTTTCCATATTTAGAAAAAGGAAAGGTGAACAATTTTTTCCAAATTGTGATTCCAAATCTTCAAAGCTAGCAAGACAGGTGTTTTCTTTGGCATATAACATCGATGTAGGTACACTTTATGAAAACCATCATAGAAAGTGATCAGCATGCAAAATAATACAGATTTAAAAAATGTATTTTTTCATTAAACATCGAAATTTTTTATAAAACTCTGAGCTCTGATGTCAGCTCTGAGAAATTTTTGCTTTTGAAATAAACGCAAATTACGATTTTTTTTTAAGTACGTATGTGTGCGAACAATTACACAAGTCTACAAAAGAAAAGTCGATGGAAAAAAATTAATTCATTTAGAAAAAAATATAGCTAGAAGATTGTGCCAGTTTTTTTTAAATATTTTGCGGCCCAATTTTGACTATAGATTTATCTTCAGCAATTAAAGGTACATTTGAAAACATATATCACGCAATCCATACAACCTTTTTTGTGGATCTGTGTTAATTTCGATCCATCCAACGATCCACGATCAAAATTGAGTGAAACATATCAAAGCTGCATACACGTTGGCTACTTTTCGCACTAAAAAATTGATATGAAGAACAATATTTAAAAAAAAACGGTTGATATTGATCAGCTTATATAAAAAATCAGTGCCAAATTTCTCATTAAAGTTTTCAAGTAAATTAGTTTTTCTGTTTAACTATTATTTGTTTTCATTTTGTATTATAATATTATTTTTATACACTTATAATATACACTCGTAATTATTCTTGTTGCAATTTTGTAATTTTGTTGCAATAACATTATTCCCCTGCTCAGTCAATGAATTTTGACTTAATATTAGTTCAGACTTTTGAGTTTATGAAAAATCTCTAATTTTATTCGAAAAGAAAAGGCGTAAGAGCAGCAAAAGCAAAAATTTATTTTTTCATGAGTTGTACATCCGTAACAATTTTTTTAAACTTTGTTCTTTATTTTAATTTTTTAATTCGTAATGGAAAACTACATACAACTCCAAATTTTGCTCTCTTATTTCATAATAGTCATTTTAGCTCCATAATCAATCAATTAACAATTATCATCCTTTTTGTGAACGTTTTTAATTGAATTTCGATCAAGATTTTTCTGAGCTTATAGAAAAGCTTAAATTTATCTGCTCTATCCGCTGCAACATTTTAAAAATTATTGGAAACAAATGGTTACCTCCGATAAAACTAACTGATTTGCAGGCTTATCTTATTATACACATATTTCTAGATGTGCTTAAGAATTACCTAGTTTTTGAATGCCCTGCAGAAGGGGCAATTTTAGCAATAAATATTTTGAAATTTAACATTAAAATCTGAAGATAAAACTGTTTTTAAAAGAAAATTGGATTTTTTTTTCAGGGTTAACATAATTTAAATATGGATGTTAGTATTTTAGCGTTGCGTTGGTTAAATTATTAATGTAATTTGTGTTAGCTGCCCCTTTCATTTATATACTATATATTTATACATTCAGAATTAGTTAGCCATTTTTTATACTAATGATTTTCTTAAAATATTTCCTGTGGCAAAACGTTTCCCGGGTCAGCTAGTATATATATATATATATATATATATATATATAAATTACGTGCGGCCCGCCATGAAGTTTTAAAATTTAAATTGGCCCGTGAGTTGAAAAGGTTGCTCGCCCTTGATCTACATGTATCTCCAAGGAGGAGGGGAGTCCAAAAATCCTTAAAAAATTGGTAAAATCCTTTAACACGTAATTGTTATTTTAAATCATATTAAAGTAATTTAACACAAAGACCCCCTTCCTGTCCTGGATTAGCATAATTATAAGTGACCATCCCAGTTTTAACATAAAAAATTATGGTCACCTTAGCCTTAAGGCAAAATGCCCCTTATAACTAGTTTTTTTCTAATCAAGTATGATGTTTTATCACCAATAATGTGTGTTGTTTAATTCTATTACCTTAAAGCAACCTAAACTATTAATAGCTCTGAGCACATCAGCATCTAATTGCTGCGCGGACGGTATCACGTGAGTCTGCACCCTCTGCATCATGGGCGCCTCCAGCTCTACAGCTCCTCCTCCATTGACGGTGCCCGAAGCACCTCCGTTGGCTGTCACCCATGGATGACGGTTGACGTCGCATAGACGTAGACGTTTATCAGGATCAACTTCTATCATACCTCGAAGAAGTGCTTGGCAATCAGGAGGACAAAGTGTGGTATGTGGAAAGCACCTCGTTTCACCTGGATAATAGAATGATAAATTATAATAATTAATTAATAATAGATCATTTTCATTTGAGGCTAGATGAGTGTAGTTTATATGTAAATACAGATTTTTGAAAAATTGCTAACAAATTACATAAGGAATTTACTAGACCTTACAATAATAAGGTATGTACGATGGATATTTTATTATCTAATAATAATTAGTTCACCTCGGAATTCGAGATACCCAGCTGTAAGTCTGTAAATACTTGTATATTGACACCCTAAAGTTGTCTCAAAACCTACACATGGTATTGACACCCTACCATATGTAGGTTTTGAGACAACTTTAGGGTTGTCAATATTCAAGTATTTACAGACTTACAGCTGGGTATCTCGATTTCTGAGATTCTTACCTAATTTAAGCTTAAATGACTGGACTATTATTATAATATTCATCGACTATGGCCCTTATTTATAAAAAGTTGTATCAGATTGACGATTTTCTCCACTTGATTACTATATTATTTATTGATTATCAATCTAATTTATAACTGAAAGTGGCAATTTTCCTTAAGCCAAGTGGCAAAAACTTTCTCGACATATGCGTATACCAATAGAACTTGGTATTTACAGACTTTGATGATTTTTCATGATTAAACCATGGTCAAGATTTGACCAGGACTTTTTCTATTTTATCCCGGGATCCTTCGGGGAAGGGTATACAATTGTATGTATATAAATACCTGTAACTTATAATAATGAGGGTGGCTAGCAAATGTAATGAGAGTAGAAGGTTGGTAGAGTGAAGTTCAATATATATCATAAACTAAATGGTGGTTTTATTCACTTAACTTATGGTGATGGAATATTTATAACTTACTTAATCTAGTCACAGTGATCCTCACCAAACCATCTCCCTAAGCTTATAATATTCTAGCATGTTATTCAATATCATGTTCTTTATCATCGTTTCATCAAAATTGCAAAAAATAATCAAAAATCGAAGCAATGACCCAAAACACCATTGAAACAAGGACGTTATTCACCAGAATGAGATACTAAGCAGTCTGATTCCCAGGTGATACCCTTTGAACGGTTTTGAAATTTTCGAATTCGGTTCAGGATTTTTAGCAAAATCTTGGACATAAAGTTTTGGCTACTAATTTTGAAGGAACAGCTTTGCGGGTCAGCTCCCTAAAACTCATCAACGAGAGTCCTTATCAAATGGCTATTAATTTATTTGTGTGGATGCAGCCGTTTTTGGAGAAACGCCTACGCAAGCTCAAATTGTGACTCATTAACACACACACATTCACATACTTTTTCCACTTTTCAAGAAAACATAAAATTACCATTCGGACTTTCTGACCATATTCTGATAATATAATTTTATTTATTTTTTTGGAAAAAAGTATAATATTTTTCTACAATTTTATAATTTATTCTTAAAAATGTATATTGTGTTTGGACAGCAAATAAAACTATATATAGCAGTTGTGGGGTGAATTCTAAATCTTGTTTTGTTAAAATGCAACCTACTGGTTGCACTGACCATTCTCTATATTTTTTTAACTAATGCTGAAGAGCTTTATCTAATGCAATCGGTGAGCTTTATCTAGTGCAATGACGAAAAAACAAACTATACTTCAGGAAGTTATGTTATTGACAATTTACAAGTCTTTACTATTTATCAACTATCGCTCTGATTTATTAAACTCTTTTTTATTACCTTTTCAAGTAGTTGTCTCAGATTGTCATCATCAAAAGGTAAAGCTCCAACCAAAAGTGCGTAAAGAATAACTCCGCATGACCAAACATCAGCTCTTCTTCCATCATATTTTTCACCTGAAAAATAGATAAAAATTATACATTGTAAATAATATTTTAAGATATAGAAAATTTCCAACTATACAATTCCATAATTTGTTGAAAAACTCTTATTGTGTACTCAGCAAAAATATAGTAGTTCAGTCATTTAAGCTTAAATTAGGTAAGAATCTCGGAATTCGAGATACCCAGTCTGTAAGTCTGTAAATACTTGTATATTGATAACCTAAAGTTGTCTCAAAATCTACATATGGTAGGGTGCCAATACCATATGTAGATTTTGACAACTTTAGGACGTCAATATACAAGTATTTACAGCTGGGTATCTCGAATTTCGAGGTGAACTTACTATAATGACTGGACTATAGTTTCATTTCTGTCCTAATGATAACGCAACGTTTCTAACTACTGATTTGTTAGATTTAATTCTAACTAAATGATCTTGTATATAAATATATAAAATAATTTCTTTTACCATAGAAAAACCAATTTCCATTCTATTTACCTCTTATAACTTCAGGACAAGCATAATGCGGCGAACCGCAGCTCGTATCGAGCATTGACCCTGCAGGTTGCAAAGAGGCCATTCCAAAATCCGCTATTTTTATATTATTTTTCTCATCTAATAGTAAATTTTCTGGCTTCAAATCACGATGACTGCAATAAAAGAAATACTAATAGACCACAATGATTTTTATAATTATATCTACATTCATCAAATAAAATCTACTTGGGGTAAACATATCATCACAGAGGAATGTGATATATTTATGTTTCTTATGTTTTAACTTATAGATTTTATTAAAGAGTATATTAATAATATCTTTTAGTATTACTGCCTATGAATTTTTCAGTACAAACCATATAGAATGACTGTGACAAAAATCTAGAGCAGAAATAATTTGTCTAAAAAATCTTCTAGCTTCCTTTGGAGTCAATCTGCCTTTTTTCACAAGATAGTCAAACAATTCACCTCCTGATACATGTTCTAATATTAGGTACCTACAAGTAATAAATAAAATTATCATTAGACATATTGGAAGGAATTAATTACAAATTTCATTAAACACTATATGCCAATTACTTCTTTATTACTTCTATTATTACTTCTGCGATAGTACGGCCAATTAAACATTAATTATTCTCTTTTTGCTTGTGTAGTTTATGGTATATTTTTATGGAACTCAAATGCCTTTTGTGCTTGCATAATATTAATGTTGGGTAACAATGGACTATCAAATATTTTTATGATTTTTTCGTTTTGAACCTTGTATGAATTGGTCTGCCCTACTTTCAATAATGGCAATGGGATCAAATGCCACTAATTCATTGCAATAAATTATTATTAAACAAATATGTATGTTTGCTGTGATATTTTTAAGTTTGGTTTGCCAACTGTAATGGATAACAGAACGTGATTGTTGTAATATCATAGGATTATTTAATTTTTTGGGAATAAAAGTATAATATTTTTCTACAATTATATAATTTATTTTTAAAAATGTATCTTTTGTTTGGATAGCATATAAAAACGTTCTTTAGCTGTTGTGGGGTTAATTCTAAATCTTGTTTTGTTAGAATGCAACCCACTGATTGCACTGACCATTCTCTATATTTTTTTAAGTAAAACTTCTTTAGGCGCGATTGGGGTGTAAATCCGTACAAATGCAACGGAAGTCCGTTACGCCCGAACTGTTCGTCATTCGCTTTCGATGAGATCATTTCTATACGGGTCGATTGTGATTAGTCGTCGCGTTGTGAATAGAGATCTGTCGTTGTATGCGTACCGATATCAATAAGGAAATCGGCATAGATAAATAAACATTTTAAAGTTACATCATAGTACAAATATTGATTTAATGAAAAATGCCTGAAGCAGAAAAATATTTTACCCTGATCCTTGAAAATATTAAAACAAATTAAATTTTTGTGTCGTGTACTAAACGTAAGTTTATTGATTAGAAATTATTTGTATATTATTCCTAATTTCTATAAATCTTTGATGTTATTAAAATGGAAAATATTTTTTAGGCAAAACAGATATTACAGCTGTTCAAAAAATGAGATTATATCGCCAGCGAAAAATAAAAAAAATACAAGCAGTCAATGAATGTATGTTAATTTTAATTACATGAAGTTCTTCAAACACAATTACATGATGGGTGAAGTTGCGAAAACAATATTTGTTTAGACGTTGTTTAACATAATCCACTGTGTGAACGAATATTATAGTATTTATTAATCAGCAATTACTTCATTTCTCTGATGAAGGTTCATTTCTAAATGCTGATTTCAATGACAAACCGATCATGTCATATTTGAAGTATGACTTGAATTACATTATTGTTTCTAAATATTATACACATTGTTAATGCTATTATAAATATATAATTTATAATTTATTATTATATAAATGTGTATAATGGTTGACACTAAAAAATATGTGCATCACAGGTGTTACCATATTACTAATAAACATTATTCAAAATTGTTATATGATGTATTTATGTATACTTAAATGCCATCTTGTAAAGTAGCAAATAAGTTTTACTTCAATCGCATGTGAACCTTACGCGCACTCTTTTTTTATCTAATGCTGGGGAGATATTATATTGCAGAAATTGTTAATGATTATTTTTATCCGCCAACTTTTTTTCCCAGAAAGTGATTTTCCTTAGTTATGATATTTTCTCATCAATCTGGCCGAGGTGGGTATCAAACCCGAAACCAGTGGTTGCTAGAAAAAGTTCTAACCACGGAACCACGGCCTGCACGGCTATTAATTTTATTTGAATATTTTGTTTATTAGAGTAAAGAAGCACTCGTCTAATCAATTGACCAATAAATTGCAATTTATGTTAAATGATACGTGAATAAAACAATTAGATTTAGAAAGAGGAAAGTAGATGAAGAAATATATATAGAATGAGACTATAAATAATGTATAGCTGTTTCTTTGGGTTGTATATCAATCAATGTATTGATCAATTAATGTATCTAAGGTAATGTAAAAATTATGAACAAAAATCGGTCAGACTGAACAATGATTATAATATTGATTTCTATCAAACTTACAAATATTTTTTGTTTTCATAGACATCTGTGAGGCCTAGAACGTGCGGATGATCTATGAGTTTCATGATGGCTATTTCGCGTTCCACTTTCATTAGCACCGATTCGCTCAACTTTTCGCGGTTTATTATTTTTATGGCCACCTTCTTGCCCGTCACGCAGTGCACTCCAAGCTTGACTAACCCTGGTAACGGTTAAGATGTATTTAATCATTTAATTGATAAAACCTAGTTAATCATTTACTTGAAAATAATAATATATTCATTTATTTATTTATTTATAATGATAAATAAAATGTTGTTCTTTACCGGTTTGTCCCTTTCCCAATGTTTTTTCGAGCCGAAACGGTCCGACATATTGATAATTTTCGTTAACAGTTGCATTGGCACCTTCCTTCTGCATCGTTGGCACAATCTTTTAGCACTTGCTCTGGTTAAGGTAACCTAGGCGCCTTTAGCACATGAACTTATCCTGAAACCTGGAAAAGAAAAATATATTAATATTAAATATAATAAAGGTTATTGAAAGTGATATTCGACATATAGGCGTCCAATTATCACGTGAGCCTTGGAGGGGGTAAAAGGGTTGACAAAAAATTACGAAAAGTCACCATGGAGAAGGGTGTCTAGTAAAATATCAAGTGTATTTATTTTTTACCTCAATTTTAAAAAAATTTAGAAATATTTTTTTCTTGGTACTAAAAATATAGGTACGTGATATTGTGTTAGGGGTCAAAAATCTATAGAAATACTCACGTGATTAATGAATCCCTAATAGTACAAATTATTTTTGAAAAATCTTAAGATGAGGGCGTAAAATCAAGTCTCACAATAATACCAAACCTATTTTGAATTACTAATTTGATTTTGTTGCAATTTTGAAAAAATAAGTATAATTTAATTTAATATTTTAATTGTGTACAATCTTGTAACTGAAAATATACAAAAAAAAACTTATCTTAATTTATCATTTTCCTAAAAACTGGAAAATTCCTGTTTTTTTTCTGATGGCAATGGTTATTTTTATCCACTAACTTTGATAAATTGGCATCTCAAATTGACCCAAATTGTCATTTTAAACGATTGTAAATTGAATTGTATTTTTAAAAAACAGACCCTTAAATTGATATTCAAATTGTTTTTGACCCAATAAAATAATTTGCACTAAATTCATACTAAGGCAATCGTTAGGAAAAAATGTTTGAGCTGCTGTGTGCCAAAATTATATGTACAGGAGTAAATAAATTATTGTATAAATTTCAAATATTTTTGCTATATATATATATATATATATATATATATATATATATATAATATATATATATATAATATATATATATATATTAATCTTAATCGTTTGAACTTAAATGTAGAATTGAATTGTAACTTAATTTAAATTTTAATTTTACCATATATGGTAAGATCTAGAGATGGATAATTTATGATATGGATATTATGGAAATATTCGAAATACAGAAATTCAGTCTACCACATAACTAAAAAATTTTAAAAAAAGTAATCTACATATCCATATTTTTTAATTTCACTATATAGTCCAAGACACTCATCCTAGTTCTTTCCATACAACCCCAATTTTTCATGATGTTTTGACACAGTTGTTTTTTGTCCATTTATCATATAATTTTGAACTGAAGCTATTTCAGATAAAATTTATTAGAAGTGCATTTGTTTATTAAGAAATATATTTTTATTTGCAAAATTTTCAGGAAAATCAAAGAATCGTTCTTATTAATGTGCTTTTTAGAGCGCAACATTGTCGATAGTCTATCATAACAACATGCAAGTTTATATGAAATATGAATAAGATTTTAGTTAATTAATTAATAACTAAAATGTATAATTAGACACAATTTTATTTCTATATTATTCGTAGTTTCTATAAATCTTTGAAGTTATTCAAATGGAAAATATTTTTTAGGCAAGATAGATATTACAGCTGTTTAAAGAATGAGATTATATCGCCAGCGAAAAAGTAAAAAAAAATACAAGCAGTCAATGAATGTATGTTAATTTCAATTAAAGGATGTTCTTCAAACACAATTATTACATGATGAGTGAAGTTGCGAAAACAATATTTGTTTAGGCGTTGTTTAACATAATCCACTGTGTGAACAAATAATATAGAATTTATTAATCAGCAATTACTTCATTTCTCTAATGAAGGTCCAAATCCCAAATGCTAATTACAATGACAAACCAATCATGTCATATTTGAAGTATGACTTCAATTACATTATTGTTCTTAAATATTATACATATTTTTAATGCTATTATAAATATATAATTAATAATTATATAAATATACCATATTATTAATAAACATTATTCAAAATTGTTATATGATGTATTTATTTTTATTTAAATGCAATCTTGCATAGTAGCAAATAAGTTTTACTTCAGTCGCGTGTGAACCTTACGCGCACTGTTTTTTTTTTTCTAGGAATTATAATTATTATATCAAAAAACTTATTTATTGCAATTCTTTGTAACTAATATATTATAATTGAAATTTGCCAAGTATCAGGCAGTAAAGATATACGTTTTCACCGGAAAGACATATCAGGTTAAAATAGTCTTAGAGGGCATTAGTGCAATGGATTAAAAATATGATTTTAATTAGAAAATAAATTATTAGATTTCAATAAGAAAGTAAAAATTATTTTATCACCTTTTATAATAGCGTTTATAAAATATAATTTAAATACAATACTATATAGAACACTTTTGTTAGTTTACTTCTGGTTATTGTTCAGTACATATAACAAAAAAAAAACATTGAGAATGTAATATATGTGGATCATTTTGGCCATCAAAATATTTTGCCACGTAAACTAATATGAATATATTCCCAGATTTAATACCATTATTATTCTAAATTATATGAAATATTCAAAACAAATCTTTAAATATCTGAAATAAAAATAAAATAAAATAAGCAATAAGATCACGTCTTCCATTATGACAAAATGGTTTTCAGATATTCAAAAAATGTCCACGCCCGCTATTATAGGAGTCCTAAAAAACATTATTTTAAAAATATAGATTTATTTAATTTAAATTTTAATCAAAGAAATAAAAAATAACGTTGGCTTATATTTTAATTATATTTAAAAAATATAAAGCTTAATAAAGTTCACGCATGCAGCGATCGAACTTCGGAAATGTCATATTGCAGAACTATATGTCACTGTATCAATATTTACACTCCCTAATAAATTAATATTATGCAACCATATTTTTAATCCACAAATTATTCCTTCTATTATAATTAAATTAATTACATTCCAATACTAACCTATAGTCATATTTTTAATATTCGTCATATTGCAGTGTGCATTATGAACTTCTTCATATCAACTTGATTTCAATTTTCAAAACATCAAATAAAATTGTATCACCCACTATTATATTTAACTTTTACTAATAAATACCACTTAAAAAACACATATTTTTTAAATATTTATTTTCTGAACACTTTTGTATATTTTTATCTGAAATTATATAATATACACAACGATTTAAAATGAAAAACACGCAATGGACCGGATACAGAAGTCAAACTACACGCACGCTTCTACATTATTTATATATTTTTCATACTGCTTTTAATTAATAGAATTTTAGCAAATTTTATATTTCTAGAAAGTTTCGTAATGTCAAATTATTATTATGTGTCGATATATTTATATGTATGTGTATTTACAGAAACCATTTTGAAAATCAATACGATCAGGCGCCGAGACGTCGAATTGTACGTGTTCGCTATTGAAAAACTTTAGTGACATCTTGCGAAGGGTTATTTTATAAAGGTTAAAAATATATTTTTATGCGCGTTACATATTTTAGTATTCATTTTATCGAACAAAATATCACTTTTTTAAATAATGGGGTACACAAGATTTGCACAAATTTGTGCATACACAAATTGCACACACATATTTTTTTGACGTTTAAAGTCTCCAGCATTGCATTAATGGCGGCAAAACTTCACAAAAACCAAAACCAAAAACATTACATTTGATACTATTTTCAGCATGATATGTATATATTTTTATATAGTACAAAATAAATTTTAGTAGTTTAGGCTATGTTAATTATTTAAAAGTAAAAAAAAGTTGAAAAATGTTAAACTTTCAAAATTCTGACAGTTAATGATGCACCTGCCATCTACCAATATGGCGCTCATTGTGCAAAAGAATGACAGCTGTTGAACATAACCTTAAAAGCACGTTTGTAAAGTCATGAGGATATATAATTAATTATGATTTCATCAAAGAAAAAAATAAGTATAAAAAATGTAACACAGTGGATAAAAAAGAATTTTATAAATATACTTTAATAATGTCGTGATTATAACCTCCTCTTTAGGATGTAAACGAAATTTAACCTTAGTATTTAAATAGTGATATAATTGTAATTAAGTACTTTCAAAAGTGCTTTATATAAAAAGAACTCATGTGCATCATACAATTCGTAGTGAATTTAGCTAAAATTAGTATTAGACATAATAGATATTATTCAAGTTTTGCACAATCTAACTTAAAAGCTACATTGTTGAATATGCCTCGAGAAAAACAGAACAATAACAACAGGTAATAATTTATTTTACATGATTTAAGATACTTGCATACATTTTTGTAAAAGCAGGTTTATTGAATTTTCAGGGCTCAGAAAAAAGAAAAGACTACTAGTTATGTACCTGGAACTATAACTTTGCAAGTACTTGGTTCGGGTGCTTTAGGCAGTCCTGCTGTTTTTATACTTATTCACGGATCAAAATAGGTATAATTTATAAATTAAAATTATCCCATTTAAATATACATCATATTTGTTTTCTATTTGTAGATATCTTTTCAATTGTGGTGAAGGCACTCAACGGCTAGCTCACGAATATAAAAATAAATTGTCAAGATTAGAGCATGTATTCTTTACCAGACGATGTTGGCATCGTATGGGTGGATTGCCTGGTCTTTCATTAACTCTTCAAGAAGCAGGAGTACAATCATTGCATCTTCATGGCCCTCCTGATATAAATGAATTATTCACAGCAACAAAGCGTTTTGTTGTCTTGCGTGATTTGAAAATATACACTGTAGAAGCTAAAGCTGGAGAAGTTTTTTGAAGATTCTGTTATGGTTGTTCATTATGTTCCATTGTTTAGGTATATTTAGTTTAATATTATTACTTTCATGTTTTTTTTTTAAATAATATTACTTGGAATTTAAACAAGCACACTGATAAGAGAAGATGATAATGATATTTCTTTTTCATAAAATATATTTTATAGAGAAGTATTAAATATTTCTTTTGCCATTTGAGTAGAACTTGCTTTGATTATACTTTTTGTACATTGCTATTATTTTTATTATATAATATCATTATACATAGCAATACATAATTTTGCAGTTCAACAAAATCAAATAGTAAACCATCATCTCCAAAGGGTATGAAGCAATTTAGTAAAAAAAACTCTTCGCTGCTAGATAATGAAGCCAATACTTCAAATATTGATAGTCTTGCAGGAGCCAGTGTAAACCGACGTAATTTACGTTCTTCAAGTATGCCAGCTGATGAGACCGATTACTATGCTCATGAAAGTAAGGGTAAAAGAAAAAGAAGTAGAAGTCGAAGGCGTGGAAGGTCTTTGAGTAGAGGTGCTTGGTTGTGAATGATTGAGTGAATGATTATTTTTGATTATTGAATAGGTTTTAATAGCTCCATGTAAAAAGCCATTTTCAAAACTCTAATACTAATTGTTAATTGTTGTCATTATTAGTAAATAAATATTCATAATTGATATTCAGGAAGTGGAACTCGAACTGATCCTGTAGCCATGTCTCAACTATTAAATCTTGAGGAGAAAATTGAAACAGAAGTAACAGCTTATATTTGTCGACTTAAAGTAAGTAAACTATCATTCAATTTGCACATGAATTAGTATTAAATTTCATCTTGGTAACACTTATATTTATCTTTTTCATTGCTGTTAAGGTTTTTATTTTTTTTAGCCTAAACCTGGTGCATTATGTTTAGAACGTTGTGTGAAACTGGGAATAAAGCCTGGCCCCATTTTTGGGCGACTTAAAGATGGCATAGATGTTACTTTGCCTGATGGAAGAGTTATTAAATCAAGTGATGTTAGAGGTCCAGATGATCCAGGGCCAGTATTTATTGGTAATTTGTTTAATTTAATTAGCATCAGAAATATTTTATCAGTGGTGATGGTCAGATATTAATATATGCTTCTCTACATATTGCAAAAATTACTCAAAAATATTTTTTTATGTTTAAATTTTTATTGTAGTGCTTGATATTCCATCGGAGGATTATTTAACAGCTCTGGAAAATAATGAGGAATTCACAAAACATCAAGCATCAGCCACAAAAGATGAAGATGCAGCTTATGCTGTATTTCACTATACCCCTCAACACATTATGAATAATCCCAGGTTTGAAAAATAATAAAAATCATTATTATTAAGGAATTAATTAGTAAAGATTAATGTTTTTTAGGTATGTATCCTTCATGGAAAAAGTTTTCTCCAAGTACAATTCATGTGGTGCTTAATGAACAAAATGAATTTTTATGTTCTCCTTCTGTGCAGCGTTTGCAATTTCAATTGAATCAATTAGATTCACATATATTCCCATTACTTGATAGAAATATGAATTCTTATAAAAAAGGTAATTGGATTGATTATTGAGCAGTTTAATAGATGTCATAATCAGTTTTATTAAACTAATTTGTTTGTATATTTTTAGATAATAGTGAAAATCGTTTTAATTCGCCTGTAAGAAAAAAATTGAAAACTATTCATGAAGATACACAATCGTCTACTACAGAATTTGCTAAACTTAATTGTCATGATGATTCACAAAGTTCAGTCATACGAGAAAATGTGAATACAATGAGTTGTTTTCATTTGAGACCAAAAAGAGGATGTGATAGGTAAGACAGAAAAATTACACATATTCTTGATTCATATGTTTGAACACTAATGAAAATAATATTTTTCTACTTACTATCATTATTTAATTTTTACCTTATTTTTAACAGATCAAATGAGCCAGTGATAACGCCAGAAGCATATATTGAAGAAACCAGTCAAATTGATGGTTTCATGAAAGTTTATGCGAGTTGAAAAATGATTTAACAGAGTTAGAAAAAAGTACAATAAAAAATTCAAATTTTCCTAGAGTTATATTTTTGGGAACAGGGTCTTGTATACCAAATAAAACAAGAAATACAAGTGCTATATTAGTTCAGTTAAGGTGTGCATAAAAATTGATTTTATAATTTTTGTATATTGTTGACCTATTAGTATTCTATAGAATTAACTTTATAAACAATACAATAACTATTAACAATTGTTTTTTAAAATATTTTTTAATTTTAAAGCGATTCTAATAATATACTTTTGGATTGTGGCGAAGGAACTTTTGGACAATTTGTTAGACATTTTACTGAACCTGGAGAATTACACAGAGTTTTTAAAAATCTTCGATTGATATATGTATCACATTTACATGCAGATCATCATATAGGTAAATATAAATAGTGATAAGCTATATATGACTATTAAATAAATATATATATATATATATATATATATATATATTTCATACCATATATTTATATTTTTCATATATCAAGTGATAAATTAGTCAATATTTCAGGTTTAATTGGTCTTTTACAAGAGAGGCAAAAATTGTTATCGCAGGAACAATCTATACCAGAAATTAAGCTTTTAGCACCGAGTCAAATATCTTCTTGGTTAGAATTTTTCAATAAAAGATTTGAAAAAATATCTGATACATATGAACTGATACCAAATCAAATGCTGGTGAGTACTATTCTTGTTAAATTATATTATTAATAAATTTTCATATCTATTATATTTTCATTTCAGATGGAAAATGCTTCTATGTCTGTACAAGAAGAACTTGTTGATTTTACTGAATATGGATTAGAGTCTATTAATACTTGTTTAGTAAAGCATTGTCCGCATGCATTTGGCGTTGCATTGTATACAAACGATGGATACAAAATTACTTATTCAGGAGACACCATGCCTTGTGATGACTTGGTTCAATTAGGTGGGTAACATTAAAAGTAAAAGTTAACAATAAGAGGATTGAAATTGGTTTATAATTAAATATCCTTGAAGGAACCACATCTAAAATTTTCATCTGGTAATGAGAAAACTATTTGATATTATGACATTATTTTCTACAGTTTCAATATTATGTGTATATTAAGATTATAGATTTTAAATATTTAAGGAAAAATTGGTCAATTAATGATAGTGAAGTGTGATCCATTATTTGAAGGCGAATTATTCTTGTTCTTCAGGTATGGATAGTGATCTTCTAATCCATGAAGCTACTATGGAGGATGATCTTATTGGAGAAGCTAAATTTAAATTACACAGCACTCTTTCACAGGCCATAGGAGTTGGTAAGCTAATAAATTTTTATCTTGTACATAGTTTTCAGTATAAAGAAATGACAAATTTCAGGTAATGCAATGCGTGCAAAGCGAATATTGTTAACACATTTCTCACAACGTTATGCCAAAATACCACGAATACAAAATCTGGAGGACCTGAAAAATGTTGGGCTTGCTTTTGATCACATGCAGGTAAATATTTTTATTAATATACTTTGGGTATTGAAGTAGAGTTTTGTGCTATTTATAAAATAACATAGAGTAGAACTATTTGCTTAAGTAAAAAATGCAATTAATTTGTAAAAAATGATTGAAGTCTTGTGTGGTTTTTATTGAAATGGAATGATGTTCAGTTTGGTACACTGACTATATTAAGCTTATTTCATTGCAACAACAATATATGAGATATGTTTCAATAATCGATTTATAACTAATATTTATAAAATCATAATCATGTGCTTTCAGCTTGTTTTGCACGACTTCTATAAATTGCCTATTATGCACAAATGTTTGAAAACCATGTTTTCGGAGCATTGTGAAGAACTGGAAGAACGAGCTGCAAAGAGAGCCCTTAAAAAGCAGTTAAAAGCTGCTAGCAGATCACCAACACCTGTCTGAGTTAAGAATTCAATTAAACTATTTTTTTAATCAATTTCAGAAGTTGTAAATAAAACAATATTATTTTTGACTAATATATGTTAATAATATTTATAAATAATTTATATTTTTGAATCATAGAAGAAATGAAAATAGAATTTTAGATTTATACATACCGACCTTTTGATTACATGTTTAATGTAGAAGCATAAGTTATTTTATAACTATATGAAATTCAAACATACGTTCTTAATTAATTAAGACATGCTCTGAAAAAAAATGAATAAATTAACATAAAAAAGTCTGAATTTTGAATATTAACAAATTCGTCTTGTTCGGTCCTAATTTAACCAGACTTTTGCTAACTAAATTTCACACAATAATTTAGTTTTTTCAAACGGGTTTTGATTAAATATTCATAAGACTATTTTCAAGTCCATATTAGATAAAGATATAGATAGATTTAAATTGTATTGTATATTATCATCGCTGTTAAAGCTACCCGTTTATTATTTTATAAACAAATAGAGATAGCTTTATTTTGTGTTATGTATCATCGTCACTGACAAAGTTATCTCTTAACTAATTTGTTTTTAAACAAATAGAGATAGCTTTGTGTGTTGTATATCATTGTCACTGACAAAGTTATCTATTAACTAATTATTTTAAACAAGTAGAGATAGCTTTAATTTTGTTTTATATATTATCGTCGCAGACAAAGTGACAGATAAATTTGCTGAAAATTTATAGAGATAGCTTTAAATTTATTTTGTATATCAACTTCGCCAACAAAGCTACCGGATAATAAGCTAATTATTTCAAACAAATAGAGATAGCTTTGATTTTGTTTTGTATACCATCGTCGCAAAGTTACAGATTAATTTGCTAAAAATATATAGTGATAGCTTTAAAATTATTTTTTATATCATCGTCGCTGACCAAGCTACTGGTTAATTAGTTAATTATTTTATAAACAAAGAGATAGCTAAAATGTATGTGTTAATTATAATCGTTGCTGAAAAAGTTACAGGTTAAATTGATAAAAATATATAGAGATAGCTTTAAATTTATTTTGTATATCATCGTCGCTGACCAAACTACCGGTTAATTAGTTAATTATTTTATGAACAAAGAGATAGCTAAAATTTATGTGTTAATTATAATCGCTGATGGCAAATCGCTGGCAAAGTTATAGATTAATTTGCCTAAAATATATAGAGATAGCTTTAAATTTATCTTGTATATCATCGTAGTTGACAAAGCTACCGGTTAATTAGCTAATTATTTTTCAAACAAATAGAGATAGCTTTAAATTTATTTTGTATATCATCGTCGCTGACAAAGCTACCGGTTAATTAGTTAAATATTTTATAAACAAATAGAGATAGCTTAAATTTATGTGTTAATCATAATTGTCGCTGACAAAGTTACTGGTTAATTTTAGCTTTAAATTTATGTTGTATATCATTGTCGCTTGAAAAATTACCGTTTAATTTGCTAATTATATTATAAATTTATAAATATAGCTTTAATTTTGTGTCATATATCATCATCCTGACAAAGTTACTGATTAAAATCAGTTGATTAATTATATTACAAATATACAGAGATATCTTTAACCCTTTCGACTCAGATGCCGCCGCTCCGGTGTCAAAATTCATATAAAACTCGGAACTCACGGTGGAAAGTGTGTATCATCATCGCCGACAAAGTTACCGGTGAATTACCTAATTATTTTATAAACAAATAGAGGTGCCTATTAAAACAATTACCAATTACATAATTGGCTATTATAATTATTTATCTAGATAGCTTTAAATTTGTCTTGTTTACCATCGTCTCTAGCAAAAGTCTTCGGTATTTTGCTCACGCAGACATTCATAGCCGGCACGATCTTCTACAATATTTCATGCTGCAAGAACATAATAATTACCGCAGAATAATAACTTAAAAGAATTGAAAAGGAACAAGTTTTGAGAAAACCACTACATACAAACAGAACCGCATCGAGGTGTTTTTTGGGACAGAAAGTGCAAATTATAATCAAGGATGGGTAAACAGAAGTCGCAGTTTATAATATACATATGTACTCATATGGAAATTTGGAAAATAACTTTCTTACATATTTCTTAAATAAAATATATTATTTGTTTTATTATTATATATTTAGTTAAAACATAGCCATTTTAAAATTCTTACATATGTCTTTAAATTAAATATGATATTTATTTTATTAATATTAATTTAGTTAAAACATAGCCATTTTAAAAATTCTTACATATTTCTTTAAATAAAATATGATATTTGTTTTATTATTATAAATTTCGTTAAAAACATGGCCATTTTAAGAATTATATGAATATTGATTGATTTTGATCGACCTGGAGGCCTTTATTAGGACCATCATGTGACTTTTTAACTTGAATTTCTAATCTTTAATTTATAATTTGTAACTTTTAATTTATAATTTGTCGTTTTGCTAGATAGTTAATTTATTTATAATTTTTTTGAGCTGAAATCGTCAGTTTCGTATACAACTAATTAATTAATTAATCATTTATTATATTACCCCGTAGGGTAGTAAGTTATCGTATCATCCAAAATCGAAAATAAAAACTTTATATATCTTTATATACTTTCAAAGGTTTCTGAATATTTTGGCATACCTTAGAAAAAATGGATGTATGGTGTGTGTGGCGGATACAAATTTTCGTCGACGATTTCGAGAACAACCGATCAGCCGATTTGAATAATTCAAAAAACACTCGATTCGTATTGATAGGAGAACTGCTGATTAGTTTTGACAAGGAGGTTCAGCCGTTTCGGAGATACAGGCAAAAAGTGCAGATAATAGACATCGAGTTTTTGACAGAACGGAGCATCCGAATTGAATGGTCCAAAAAACCATTCAATCGTAAAGACGGGTAGAAGTGGTGATTAGTTTTTGGCAAAGGCAGGTCCAGCCGTTTTGGAGATACCAAGCTTAATGTGCAAAAAATGGCTGTTTTTGAGAGAACTAAGCATTCGATTTGAATGATTTAAAAAACTTTCTACTTGTATTGACGAAACGAATGGTTCTGGGTAAAGAAATAAAAAAAAAATTATATATTATTATTTTTAGTTTTTATAGATAGCTAATACCACAATATTAATAAATAAATAAAATATAATTTTTATAAAAATCATAAATATATTTATGATTTTATTTTTCTGAACTGAAAGTCTCCTTTTTATATAACCATATACAAACTATTTATTTAAATCAAATTATTATTTTTTAGTTTGGATTGTTCTAATTAGACATAAATTAAATTATTCATTTTCTAAAATTATATAATTAACATAATTGGCCTTGTTATAGAGTTATCTTTGTACTAAGGCTTGAAAAAAAAATTATTACTTAACATTATTACTCAATTTTTGAAAGAATATATACTCAAAATTTTGAAAAACTTTGAATTTCGAATTATTCAATATACACGCAAATAAACACATATAATAAATCAAAGAATTATCAGTTAAAATGTTTAGCAAATGTAATTCAACCCTTTCCACTCGGACATTTCAAAACTTGTATGTATTTTGTCGCCGGAGCGGCGGCATCCGAGTGGAAACGGTTAATTTTTATTGAGATTATATATACAATCCATATATATATAGTCCATAGTCTTTTTTTTTAATTTTAATATTTTAAAGTTCCTGGAGAAGGTACATTCCATATACCTCAAACGTAGAAATAATTACATACATGTAAAATTAAATGATTTTTTTTTTTGAAAAATCGACTTTATTAAAAAAAATCATAAATTATAAATATTATAAATAATAATGAATAAAAAAATTATACATATAT